AATCCACACCAAAACTTATAAACCAATCATATAGTGCATTTTGTGGTCCTATCAAATGAAATGGATAGTAAACGAGTAGCGCACAGCATGATCGGATAGGACAATCAATTTGTCGCGCACAACTCTACCACACTCCTGCAAGGTACGACAATGATATACCATTAAAATAGGTGAGGAAGAGATTGGAATGCCAACATTCCAATCAAATCTGTTTATCAATAAAATCAGGCTTAATCTGTGAGATATGAAAATGTAATCAGTGATAACAACAACAACGGAGACAGTTTCTTCAATTTAAATGGCCTATCAAAGAGAGAGACTGTATGAAGTTAGTTAAGAGCACCAAATAGAACTGAACCTTTCATTTTTACAGCTTACACTTGAACAATTTGCGATGATCGCTGAAATAACTTTCACAAGGAATTCTCTCCGATGCCACAAACAAACCTAGGCACACGGCCTGAAGATATATATACACACACACACACACACACATACACAATACACAAAACATAACATAACAGGAGAGAGAGAGAGAAACCTTCAGATGATGGACTGTCCGAGGGACCAGCCATCCCCAGGACCCGAATGCTTCTTCCGTGTAACAAAAGCGACACTTGCGGCAGCACACAGCCCACTTCCCTCCCATTCTCCTCTCCTCTGCACACCCCCCAACTCTCCGTCTCTGCTTCTCTAACTGCACCTAACATCTTGCAAAGAAGGGCGCATACCGTCATCAACACAGCAAAATGCCGAACTGATAGGTGCATGCAGTCATGTAACAAACCCAGAAACACTGTAATGCATGCACACATACACAACAAACACTGAGAGCACTTTCTCGTTGCTGTTGCAGTTGGTGTGGAAGCGAAATGCAGGCAGACGTGTATGTATGACGTGCTTGCTATATGTTCACACGTGTGCAACTGTGCTTCTTAGCCATGGCATTCAGGTTGATGATAAATAGTTTACGTGTAACCACGCAAGCAGAGATTCTCGTCAGAAGGAATCACGCAGTTCTGCTCAGCTAATCTATCCTTTTTGAATTGCTCGTTGAATACCGCCAAAAAAAGTCGCTGGTAGAACGCCAAAAGTAGAGATGTCTAATTCCTTCTCAAACAATCACTTGATGCATCTCATTATTGATTAAGTCGAATTGAATTTACAAAGTAATTTAGGTGTCATGAACTCATAGTAACTTAGGTCACGACTGAAACATAATGGCTTGTAATCAGTGTGCCACTGTATAAAAATGTTGGTAAATGGATGAATTAACAAACTCCACATGAGAAGCAGGAAACTGTTGATCTTTTCGAGATCTCTTCTTGCGATGCTGTCATTGTTTTGCAGTATGATATTTCACGTTGAACAGAGACAGAAGAGATCACACATTCGCTTATTCCAAAAACTTAGAAATTCAACCAACATTGAAGAGGGAAGGAGCGTTACAGAGACGTAAAAGAAAAATTTGTTACTTTTGGTCTTAATTTGAAGACACAGTCCTCCTAATTAGTGCGCTGAATGCAAATTACGAATTCAGGTCAATAAGTCTCCTCGAAAAAACAACTTCTACCTTTTGTACAGATTAAATGAGAAAGTTGATGAATTTTGAGGAGAATGGAAGAGGAATGTTGGGAAAGAGTCCTTTGGGAAGGGTCATCTCGGCCTAATCCCTCATCTCTTCTTTTTCTTTCTCTGCCTCATTCTCCAATTCCTTTCTCATTCCTCGAACTCATCTCTCGTTTTAATTTAAATTATTTTTTGAACAGTATGAGCGGAAAGGAAATAAAAGTGTCACCGTAATGTCATCAATAATCACATGACTATCACAGATCCTTCATCGTTGTATCCTTAAATAAGCATTCTCTGAGTGATCTTTTTGAAGTTTTAGATCTTTTTTTTTTGATTTGCTTGATAGGACTAAGAAGATATCTGGCCAAGCTACATTTTTAGCGTGGTTTTATCGCATATTTGCTCTCTTGAATTGCAAGAAACTGCAGTAAATAACGAGACAATGGACTTACTTGAAATAATTAGAGATGAAACTGATTGTAAGGGATGAATCATTTCCAACTTTACATCATTCAAAAAGCTTCCTCTTCAAAAAATAACAGGATAATACAAATATAAAATAATAAGAATTTAAAAATAACAACTTTGCAACGCTTTTCATTTCACAGTACCATTTCAATGGTAAGATAAAGTGGCACGAGAAATATTACACTGATGTCTGATGACATGTCGTCCATTGTTGAATCCAACCAGCCATTGTCCATAAATTTTGACGACACTGAAAAAGAAGAATTTGAAAGGCGAATTTAAAGCCGTTTACCGAAACATTTTCAAAGCTCTGAAAATGCATAAAAAGTCATGAATCATAGACAGCTTCATTCATCGCTTCTCTTTCTGCCAATTCATCGTACCACCGACATTTCACTGTATCAACAACGTAAGATAGAAGGGAGCGGTGATGAGACGCGAGGGCAGGACGGAGTGTTGAGAAATAAGCAATGTAAGCATTCTGCTCCTTTCGGGAAAGATGATGATAATGTATGTTCGGAAACAAATGATTTTCATATTTTCATTTCCTCTATTTTAGTCTTAACTGTACAAAAATAATGAAAACGCTCACTCAGCCTTGTAATCTTCGTGCTAACAAAATTTTTGTAAAGCTTTCAAATGGATGAACACATCGCAAATAATTTGCATTTTCTATGCGTAAGGTCAAAAAACACAAAGCTGTTGAATAAAACGCACGCAAATTTCTCTTTATCATTTAGCATGTAAACTATGAAAATGTACAATTCAATCAAACACGAAATTGAGAAATTGTTGAACTGTTTTCAATAAATATCAATTCAATAACACATCCTTGGTGTCGCAGAAAATGTAAATAAATAAAGAAAGGAAAATGACTGACAGGAAGATTAAATTATATTTTGAAAATGATATTTAAGTACAGAAGAAATTATTTTCCACCATAGCAACACTTCAATAAACAATCGCACCAAACTATATGAAAATGGCTCACTTGATATCTTCTTCTAATTTTAAAGACTACAAAATGAAAAACGAAACTATGGAAGCAAAGAACAATTTAGCATTGAAATACATAACATATACATAACTGTGGTTTTATGCGGCCTCTCTCTAACTAATGTTTTTTGGTCGTTATTGTCTGGAATTGTTTGAGAAACGAAGAAATTATAAAATAAAGGCGTAATCTCTTGTCTCGGAAAATTTTACAGAAAAAAATGGAAAATTGGAAAAAAAAATTTACAGAGAAAAAGAAATCCAGAAATCATCCAATCCACGCCTGGCATTTATAGTTGTTATATTCCAGACATTTTAAATGCATTTGCATTGCTTCCTAACTATTCTTGTATTCATTTTGCTAGGTAATCAAATAAAGTCACACTGAAACGATTTGTGTATAACATTAAGTCATTTTCATTTATGTAAAAACCGTTTGAACTACAAAAGATTTCAATAAACTGAGTGTGAAAAATTATCGACATTTGACCTTTCGTCACAAGCGCCAATTTCGGAAACACCTGCAAATCTCAATTAGTTTCCATGTAGATTTAGTTTAATTGATGCAGTTTAATCAACACAAATCTCAGTGTACAATAGGCTGATCAAGAAAACAATTATTTTTAATGCATTCCTTTCTTTTCAAATTTCAAATCAGATAAAAAATTATTGAGTCTATGCAATTTCAAATTTTTAATTTAAAATAGTTCAAAACTTACACATTATATAAAACTTTTAATTGAATATCTTTGCCAAGCTGAAATCAAGTCGCATTCCTTTGATCGATTAATTGAAAGGAATTAAACTTAAATTTAACAGAACGATATCAAAAACCTTGGAACAAACATGTTCCTTGAGGAAAGAATTATCAAGGGTTGGATTTTTTTACTGCCACGGAAAGCATTCTGCTCTTACATTCAGCATGGAACGTCAACTTCCGAAGAAAGACCAAATACACTAGCTTTACGTGTCAGATCAACCTATAAAAATTAAATTCACACTTAAATGAGTGATCCTAATAGAAACGATAAACATCCGATGCACCATTTCCTAAGAAATATTGAAAACAATTACTCCATCTCATGTTAATAAGGTACAGAATGCCGTTAATTATTTGAAGTTTGGTTACCAGTTGCTGGTATGGATAAAGATTACTAGTTTGCATGCAGATCACCAGTTTAATTATAGATCGCTAATTCTTCCTCATTCCTTTCGCTTTAACTTGCAGTCCTTCGACAACATAACATTTTGCTTCGCTACTATTGCATACTTTTGTCAATATATTCAATTGGTAACTATTTGAAATACTTGAACTTTTGCAAAATTTTCACACCTTCGATATCTGACTGAACTTCATTGTGGAGAATTTATTAGATATCATAAGACAACCATAAAATGCTGTGAAATATGCAATAAAAATCTAGAACCAATATATGTAATTAGAGCATTATCAAAGTATAGTCTTTCAACTCCTTTAAAAATCATATGGATTATTCGAATCATAAATGTTTTAATTCTCATAAATGTTAGTTAACATATAATGAGACAATTTTCTTTTTTTCTTTGTGTCGAAATAAAATTTTTATAATACACAATAACACACATTTGGGATGCTGAAATTTTAAAAAATTTCCCAAACTTTTAGTCACTTAAAAAACAAAGGCATAAGAAAGAGAAATTGGTAATGGATCATTATAAACTATTAAAGCAAAAAGAAATAAGCAAATAATGATTGATGGCAGTGACTGTTGGAAAGCAAAAAAATTTTTTTAAGATTTATGAATTTGAGAGAAATTGTCAATAAAGTTACTAAAGGAATTGAACTTAAAAAAAAAAAAAAAACAAACACGATAAGCATATTATGACAAATGTAAACAAAAAATAAAAAAGTAATATGGCTGCTGATGAAATTGGTTGGGATTCTTTTCCAAAATTTGGTATACACTAGAAAAGTCAGTATTGTCGATTTACAGGAGCTGTGGACTACTAGCAATCTGTTCATTTTCTCCTCCGAGCTTACTGTAACCGGCAATAAGCGCTAAACGTCTCAACTTGTTAAGATTGCTACAAATGAGATAAAAAACCGTTGTTGCAGAGAGTAGTACAACAAATAAAGTCCAATATACAAACCGATGGCTGTCTTTGCATGCAGAATTTGAAATCTCGAAGATATTTTGACCCTTCCGAGATTCTGGTGCAACACAGATCGCATAACCCTGGAACTGGATTTATAGAATTAGATTTAAGCGACAAATAGTACTATTTTGTCGCAAATGCAATATACAAATAAGCCATGTGAACGGTTTCCTATTATGGATGAGTGAAGTAGAAATCTTAAATTCAAGAAATCTATTTGCAATTAATTTTACCTGATTAAAGGAAGATGTCGGACTTTTTGATAGTTCTTTGATAGCTGGTATAATATCACAATCACAGTACAGAGGGTTTGAAGAAATATCAACTGTTGTTAGACTAGGAAGAACCTCCCAAAGATGAGTGGATAATGTAGAGAATTCATTTCCCGAAACATCCAATACAACAAGATTTTGTAAGCAATTCCAATTAACGCTGAATTTTTTCATCTTATTACCGGATAAGTGTAAACGAATCAGGCCATTCAACTGAAATGAAAACTACCATTCTCTGTGTCGATTTGCCATAATCAAGTAATTTCAACATTACCTTAACATTACATATAAGTAATTATTTCCACCAAAAAGCATATTAAGCATTTTTAATGGATCAATAATTTATATGGTAAAAGTGTAAATGATGAAACCAGAACTTTTACTTCACACATTATTTTATCAGTTGAAATTACCTTGCAAAGCATGTCAGATAGTATTTCAATAAGATCATTGTCACGTAGGATTAGCTCCTGTAAATCATTAAATTCATTTACAGAGTCAACAAACGTATTAGCCAATAAGCGCGGTCGTTCAGAAAGTGATACTGATGATGAGAAAAGATTCGACATATCCAGAACTCGTAAGCGTACATTCCATCTGAAAAGTTTCGAGCAAAAAAAAAAAAAAAAAAATAAGCAGATATGAGAGATCTAAATATACAAAAATTCTTAGACAATATAAAGCAGACTTTACACGTTAAACTACATCGTTACGCCAAAATAATTTAGAAGTGTTATCAGGACAATTTCTATGTTGCAAAATGGAAAATCAAATTTAAGCAACTCTTCGTCCACTTTTATACACTGTAAATTAAATTCATAGAAGTAGTAGAAAAGTTAAATTAAGTGTCGATTTCTCAAATCCAAGCAAACACTTCGATTTAAATATCAAAACAAATATTAAACCATAACTTCTTTCAGCTCTGTAAAAAAATTTACATGCATACACAAGAACTAAGCAAAATAATTATCAAAATTTTTAAGTCAAAATTAAATCAAACAATAACGTTTCATTGATAACGATACAGTTTTATTAAATCTTGCACTCCTTCTTAAAAACTTTAGCAATTAAAGGAAAATTATCTAAAGTTCTCAAACAGAAAACAATTTAATTTCATCATCAAAGGAATGGGAAGATCGAAGTCAAAAGGAAACGATTTGCAACATTTCCTCAGTGCATTTTATGCATACAACGAAACGAAATGATATAAATTAATAAGCGAAACGTCTCGCACTTAATGCTCTTTCCTCGCTTTACTTAACTTTTCAAAAACTCAATCTGTACGACTGTGTGACGAGTGCAACTCTATGTCCCAGGCATATAAAGATTAAATTATTCAATAAGAAGACAAATTATCATTAAACTGCTTGAATTTCACTTCAGACAAGTGAAATCTTACTTCATTTCATCAGTAACAAGTAAATAAACACAGAGGGCAAGAGAATATAAGAGATTTCCTTTGATTTAAAAAAGTTATTAGTTTAAGAAAATGACTTAAACCATGAAGAGGAATTTTGAAATTGCCAAAAATTATCAAAGTTTTTGGAATAAATTCAGATCAGATGGAGTGTTAGAAGTTGCAAAGTCAAGAAAATTCTATTTGAAAGAAAAAAACTGACCGAAATGGATCAGCACCAATTTGTTTGATTGCATTATCGTGCAGATAGAAATATTCCACTGCCGGTAGAGCTCGAAAAGTGTATGAATCGATGGCGCTAATAGCATTGTCAGATAAATCAACTAAAGAAACAAAGCGATGAGTAACATTACGACCAAAAATATTTGATCCAGCTAGATCTCCAATGCTATTTCCAGTAACAACGATAGTATCCAAATCCGGATATGCTTCCGGACGCATGGTCAAAAACATTTCGCTGCCTTGCATCTTTGTGTGATGACACTCAACTGTAGTTTTATTACAGTGACACAGTCGTGGACAGTTCACATCAAATTGACTTCGTTGAGCCTTTACAACCAGAAAAAATAGAAATGCACAACTCCTTAAGGTAAGCATTGTATAGCAATTGTAGTAATAAAAGAAGGGAATGAAATATTGCGAATTGATTTGCGTCACTTTGATCACATTTAAGGTTGGCTGATTGGTGTACTGCTCGAATGGGTTAGATTCGATTTCTGATGATTGAAGGGAGAGGTGGGAAGATACAGAGCGGTTGAACTCTGCTGCGTGCTATTTAACTTCTAGTCTCTATCCCCACAATTCTCGAGGCACCTCATTCTCGACACCGCACTGCAGTTCGCATCACCATTATGATATTTAACAAGCAACCAGCTTACCTACATCTCTTTCTCTCCCTCTCTCCAGAGTTCTCAAAAGAACGGGCATTAAATCTGTTCCAACATTAGCTGATTAGAGAGGGAAGATGACAGTGATGATACTCATTTTACAATTTTTCGTCTTCAAGTTTTTTTGTATCGCGATAACAATCATCTTGCAGTTTGCTGTTTCAGAACATCCATCATTTCTTATCATATTAATCCCTCTGTCATAATTCAATCATTAATTTGTGCTGTAATTAATAAGTACACTCACGCCATCACTGAGGGCATTCAATGTTCTACAGATTTCATATCTACACTCAACTCACCTTCACTTGCATTACATATGTTCAAACCTCTGAAATTAAGACATCACAACAATTTGTATTTGAATGAAAAAACAATTTAAAAAATAGCTGAAAGGGGAAAAGGGTTGAAGAGATCCTTGAGCCATTTTTACATGAATATTTCTCGTTAGCATTGGCTCATTTGTAATGATAGTGTTGGCTTAGATGAGGAGAAAATAGCAAAGAATGAAGCTTATGAAATCATCTGGAATTGTCACAGTATATTACTTATTAAAAGCAATCTATTAGTAATGAGACTCACTTGAAAGACAGATAATATTTATCTCATAAGAGATAGTTAAGCTTAATTTATCAAGTTTATAATAAACAAAAATTGTGACAAACTTGACATGGAAAAAGTACGGCTTAAAAACCATTGAAAAGTAAATGCATTTTTAAGATTTAAGCAAGATTAAATTGAAAAATTAATCGCTATCCAACTAAAAGTGACAACTGTAAATTTCGTCTTATGATTTTCCTTCGGAAACGTAAAATTGAAATTCGTCCGTGAGTTTTCGATTCTGTTCATAATACAACAGTTTATTATAAAGAAATGAGCACTGAATAACTTTATATAACTTGAATATATTATTAACGAAATTTACTGGAAATGTTAAAAAGGTATTTGAATTACCCGTGTTGGAGTTTTTTTGTGGATAGTCCTCAATTTAAAGACACCTGGTTCAAAACAGGTTTTTTTTCTGTAGGAATTAAACAGATATTACGTTAACATTCATTGATAGCTTCTTCTTCTACCTTTTACGTAATACCAATAAAGGCAATTTTTTATAGGTGCGGAAGGAATATCAGATTTTGGTTTAACAATTTGGTAGTTATCACAAAATAAAGCTCTGATATAGTTAACCATTCAATGCAAACAAAAGAGAAGTGCCAAAATTGAATATAATTGCCTTTTATTTTGTGATAAGCTAATGATTCATTAAATTAAATAAGTAAAAGTAAAGCTATCACAAATGTCACTGACAACAAAGTGCTTTTAGACGATGAATTTCTCTTGCAAAATATTTCTTTGCTGTATAACAATGCACTGATAACTTTATTTCAAAATACACTCTGCATCTTTTATAATAATCCATATGAAATGATACGTTGTCATATCACACTGCTTGCAAATGATAGATTTTATCATAGAAAGACAAACAATGCATGAATTGCTCTTATAAATGACATCAGAATCGTTTCTGCAAAAATATCCGTAAACTTCTTTTCCGGAACAAAGCAGCTGTAATTATTAGTGTCATACTATATAAGCAAGTCTGAAATTACAAATATATTTGTAATGGAAATAGAACAGATGTGCGCACATAATAGCTATCGTAGAGTATAAAGTGCTAGCTGCAAGCACTGATCTTATATTATAACATCAATTTTGACAAAATGCTGCATTCGGAAGTTACTCAATCGATTAATACTGCATGTTTAAGTATTAAGCACCGATAATAATATATATATTTGAGACTATGAAAATTTGCATTGTATGGAGCCAAGAAATTAGGAAAGAAAAGAATACTTTCAGAAGTGCGCCCTTCAGTAGTAATAATAACAGAAAAAAGTATTTCTGCCTCACTTGTATTTAGTAATACCTTCAACTTCAAGGATCATTATTGTATTCAATCATTTGCAGTTCGATCGCTCAGTTAATCACCATGTTCGTTCACTTCTCGGGGTGCGCTGTTGTCAAGATATTATTTTTTTATTCAGAGCATTATTTCAAAATGAAGTTAACTGAGTACAAATTCTTTAAAACTATTCGAAATCATTACCTAACCATGCGAGAATACCACAAATCAGATAGAGACAGATCCTGATCAAATAGAAAAGAGTAAATAAACGGCAATCAATAGGACTAAACACCGAGAGCAGTAGAAAAAAAAATGACATAATTATTTGAAAGTAATTCAGAGAATGACAAAATAATGTTTATGAATATTACTGGATATTACTGCGATTAGAGTTCAAGGGAAAAAAAAAAAAATTATTTTGGCGTATATTCAGTATATTTATGAATCTGCTGATATTTTAAGATTAATTAATTTGTTCAAGGCAACGAAACTATGAAACAATTCAGCAAACTTACTTTCTGCTAGTACTGGCCTGAGAGATCAAATTGCAAATTCAGCTTACTGAAATCATACGAAACACTCAAAGCTTTATTTATACTATCGATAATATACATGACCATATTATACACTAGCGTACGTGAGTGATACGTGATTTGAAAGTTCATTAAAGCATATAAAAAGGAAAGAAGAAAGTAATACGTGTTTATAAATTTTTCACTGAAGTTCATTTCATTTCATGAGATATCCCGGCTTTTTGATCTGGGTAACTGTTATACAATTAATACATTGTCATCAAATCTCTGTAAGAGCTCTGACTTTCTGATAATTGTTGTTCGTAACTGTAACTAGATAATAAGTAAATCATGATGTTATCAAAGTCGACTAAGACATTGAATCCTTTCATGAGGTTTTTCCTTTTGACAGGTATCGATTATAATTAACGCTTTTTAAAGAATGTCATTTCAATATTTAATCCCATACTGATGCTTTATCAGAAGAAACACAATTATTTCATATGAGTTGAAATAATCACAAACAGGAAAAGCAATCATTATTGTCTTTCCAGACAGACCCTAATGCTTTTGTTTGTTTTCAGAGAAAGTCCCATTGGCATCATTGAAATTTGGTAATTCTATAAAATGTGAGCAAAAGTTGCATTGGTCTCAAATTAGCACATTTATTACCTAAATTTATAAAAATTCATGAGACATTAGCGAATAAATTACAGATAAGGAACTTTTTGTTTTCTTTCTAAGATATGATAGTACTGATAAAAGCTGTGTTACTTTTATTGATAGAGAAATGAAAACTATTTTATTTGATCTAAATATGGTACAGAATGGATGAATTGCAGTTTAATTTGATTGAGTTAGTTATACCTATTATATATATATTCGAATACTTGCAGAAAGTTTAAAAATGTGATTTTTTCCTTTATTCTGGAGCAGAATAATCGAAATCATATATTGCTGGATTGTCATAATACTGAAATAGTAAACAGATATTGTCAAACGCATACAGAAGTTTTGGAAACAGAGAACTAACTCATCATCTAATTTCATTGCGCCATGGAGAAATGTTTGTAAAAAGTTTTGTCGTATCAATTCATTTTGTTTTGAGCACAATGTTGTTCGGGTCTCACATAACGAACGATACACGGAGAGGTACAATAGTGAGTACCTACCGGTACCGTACAACAACTTCACGACAATTCTTGCCATATTGTCAAATGATTATTGGTCAAGCAATAAAGTCGATAACTTCCAACTGAAAAAATTAATTTTGAACATACAGATATCAAATTTATCATCGATTTTCCTTTCTGTGACTATCGCAGTTAATATTAGATTGTCAATGAATGAAATTGATTTATTGACTTCCTCTCATGTAATCTTTTTCTTATTCAAAGACGTTTAAAGAATACAATACACCGATGATATGTTTGATTTCTTCTTTAGACTTTTCCTGATAACATTGTTTAATGCCTCAATATAAATATGCGCGATATTACTACATGGGACGAAGTCAGTTAAGTCAGTTTCACTGAATCGTTTCCAATAATAAAAATGATAAAAATTCAATGATAAAAAAATTCAAGTTAAGCACTAAATCATCAGATTACTAAGAATTGGATCAATAGGATCTTTTTCTACAAATAATCAGAATGAAGAGTTAGTTGCTTTGCTTGGTTCTTCTCATGAACCGAGATGATATGGTTTGATAGCTTTTTTAGCCTGATTTCATATAAGCTTCTTTATCGTTATCTAAGCTGATAAAATCATTATGTAATTAACGCGATGTGGTTTACAAACAGAACCCGAATTGAAATTTTGTAAATATGGAAAACTGCTTAGCCACTTGTAAAAAGTTTTGGAGGGGAGAAGTTCATGAAAATGTTTTCTTCTTATCGAAAGACTTCGGTCCACCTTTTTTGCTATTACAGTTTCTTGTTATTTTTAATTAAGAAGCTAAATTTTGACCGAGAAAACTTGGTTAATTAAAAACAGTTTCTAAATATATGTTCATGCCTAATTATGATTGAATTTATAACATTTTTTATAATTTATATGGAAATTTTGGACCCAACTGATATCTTACTTGAGAGATGTATCAGTGCATATTAGATCTATTCCGGTATTGACATTTATACAAGCTGTAATGTTCTGTCCTCTGCAAGCATAATGCTAACGAATCAGAGGTTGCTGGAGAATAAGCCTGTATACATAAATGCTACTGTATTGTTTGAGTGAACAATACTACTGAATATATATATAATAACCCATGAAAGTATTGAATAAAATTTGCATAATACAATAACCCATGATTTGATATGGTTTAGTTATAACATCATTTTGCAAGAAAATATATTTTAAATAAAGAAAATTAAATTAAAATTTCACAAATAAAAATATTAAATAAAAAGTGTTGGTCACATCAATTGCAATACGCCATTTATAGCATTCAATTAACTTTACAAAATGATGGTGGGTCCAAGACACTAAAAATCGAAGGATCATCATCTCCCTGATTTTCTAGTTTATTCCCCGTGGTAATGTCGTCTGACATGGATGCTTGCGGGAGCTGAGAACGAAAATTCAATGCATTATCCCACATGCTCTTCACCGATCCAAAAACTCTTCCAAAAAACTGAAAATGAAACTTCGATCATTATTTATTTATCAAATTCTTAATGTCATGATGACAAAATATTACGAGAATCGGAATTGTCTTTATCTTCCTATAACTTATAGTATAATTTTGACTTATATCTTAACTAGGTCTCACTTAAAAGCCAAATGAGACATGATAAGTTTATTAAATAAAATATTAATCAAATTTTTACAGTTTTCCATTAACCAACTGTTAATTAATTAAAACCACATGGAAACAAATCTTGACAATGTATAGCAAACTGTTTAAAAGGACTAATGATGAGATTACTAGGGTAATTAATTTCCGATCCTTAATATTTAAGGCAATCAACACTCATCTTCCCTCTTAAATAGTCTTTATTTATCTTCCTTCTTATTTCCTATAAATTTGCTAACAAAACTTTAATATTACCGTTACTTGTCATATTAATTTCTTGTAGATTATGATTGAACTAGCTAGTTTAGTGAGAAAAATCAATCTTTCGGTTTTTTTACATAAATTTTTTTCATTGGGATATTCAAATGGAGAAAAAAAATACCAGTATAAAAAGAGCAACTTTACCTCTTGGATGCGTTGATGCAACTGACTGGACCACTGATCCGTTCGATTAGTGAACATTTCCAATTCCTTTTTCTGCTGCTCCGTTAAATTACCAATCACTTTATTATTGATCGAGAGAACACCATCCTGTAAAATAAAATTCATCATTTTGCTGATTACTTTTTGTCCTTGTTTATCCAGAAATCAAAAAACATGTCAACTATGAACTAAAAACAAGCGAATTAAAGAACGAGTAACCATATGAAAGAAGTCCCAACTATGTGTCCAAGCATCATCTGTAGTATCTTAAGCAATACATCTTTTCAAAACCTATGACCATCACCTTATAGACGTACCAATTACTTACTATACAATCTCCTAAAGAGCCCATATCATTTCGTTCTGCATCAATTGCAGGTCCTCCTACTTGGGCATAAAGCAAGTGTGAAATCCTGTTTCTGATTATTACAATCCCATCACAAGAACAAACTCTTGAGATCAGAAAACATGAAAATTCCTCTTAATCCTACCTGAACTTTACAAATGGTATTATTAAAGTGGATGATGAATGAAGAAAATGACCGGGATACAGATGTTCCTTCGGTATGAATAGCAGTATTGACGATAACCAGTCTATAAGAGAAGTAAAGTTAGGGGACAGAAATGCAACAATTAATAATTCAAGGGATAATTCTTATAAGTAACTTAATCAATTGATTTATAAAAACTGTGAAAAAAAATACACTTACACGACGTAGAACGTTGATGACAGGATCATGTTAGCGCTGTAATTAAGAATCTTTATCACTTATTTCGGATGACAATAATGTCGCAAAATTATGTTTAATTAGAATGTCTTACTTAAAACCTACTGTGAAGCTTTGAAACTAATAGATAAAAACAAACAGCTAATATCACAACAAAATGTGAGAAAGAAGAAATCATTCCATAATCATGTGTTGTTTGTCATTCGTGTACTGGTGATAAACACCACATGATTATGGCATAAAACAAACAAGAATTTCAGCGCCCATCTCGAATAATAATATTTGCTAACAACAGCCTTAGTATCAGACAACTGTCACTCCAGAATGATAGCAGTGACAGCTGTAATAACTGTAATGGCTTGTATTGTCAAGGTATTTCATTTGTCCGAGAATTTTCAGCAAATTAATCATTGCTTGTCTGAAGTAACATGTCTTACTGAATGATTTTACTGATAATAATAGTGAGACAGGTCTTAACAAATTATAGGAAGCAACAAAATGTATGCTTTAAATTTTATTTAAACAATTTTAATAGATAATTTCTCAAACTGGCATGTCATATTTCAATATTTCATGTGCTAGAAACCTGACATAGTTTTATCTCGAAAGAAGAAATTTCATTTGTTCTTCCACACTCTTCTCGCAATATTCATGTCTCTATCCAGTCTTTTCATCAATATTTAATTGGAGACATGCAAAGCGGTTAAATTCAAAAGAAAGAAATTTTAAAATTTTCATAAACATTGTTATGGTAGTAATTACCGAAACTTTTCCATTCTTTTCAATTGATGATCCATTATCCATTATTATTTTTGTTTGTCAATGAAATATAGAAGAATAAGAAGGCCAAAATATTAAAGAACGAGGCTGACTGAAATTTGCTTGCAAAGATTTTAATTTGAAAGGCTTTTATGAAAATTTTATTGAAGATTAGATGTGCAATAATCGAAAATTATTCATACTAACTAGTGAGTGCTGTGAAGAATTACTGAGATCAGGCATCCCTGTACGTCACGTGAATCCCTTGCTTGAAAGTGCAGACTCAACTGATAATAAGTTTTTGGAAAGAAATTGTCATTAAGCTAATCATTGCCATCTGAGAAGCCAAATGTATGATTAGTCAAGGATTTCAGAAGGTAAATGATAATTGTTACAAGAGAAAAATAAAGGGATAGGAGAGACAGCAAAGTAAAGAACAAAGAAAACTTTGTTACGCTTACAGTCTATCTTTTCTTTTGCTAGATGGATAGGAACTTAAATCATAAAAATGCGAGCTAATATGAACAGTTGTGAGTGAATTAAAATCTTGATTCTTTCCGAGATTCCTTGTGGTAGAGCAATTAGGTTTTGAAAGTCAATTAGAAACTGTCCATAAGTTTTAAAAATTTGTTCAAAAATTTTGAGGGAAAAGTATAGAAAGCAACATGAAACTAGCAAAAAATTCATTTCATTTTTTTTTTGTGACGAAAAATAGAATGGATTAAACCAATTCAACATTAAATATTCAGAAAAAAAAATAGAACTTAGAAAAACAAGATTAGAAACTATAGCTAAACAAAATAGTATACTAACATTAAAATACTTATGCAAATAATAAATCAAACGTTTACTAGCAATATCATAAAATTCACCAATAAAATAAAATATTAAAAAAGAAGTGTAGCCATGAGATAATATCATTTTTTGACGATCTTCGTTCATATTATTTTGTTGCTGAAATGTTTTAAAAGGGAAAGCAAAGGGACAACTGCAGGGAAAAATAATGGTTAGATACACAGCATTCAAAAACAACTAAGAGAACCTTTTAAAATGAGCTATTGAAGACAAACTTTAATGGCAGCAATGAATTACTGGTTCAGCAAGAACTTCAAATTAAAACTTCCAAATAAAGATGCCAATTTTTTTAGTTGCATGTCTGTGCCGTAATTCATTCTAAATGTTTCCGCAAAGATCAAAGAAGAGGACAAAACATGGTTAAAACTATATTTTGATAATGATTTAGAACCAACAAGACTTATTTGTAAACAAAACAAACAGAGGAAATGTGGCTACTTCTGCTCAGATTATCATTTCCTACAATGAATTATTAATGGTTTTATTTAGGAAGATATAGGGAAAGTGCACTATAATAAAAAGACAAAAAAAAGTGCAGCATCTTTTGCATATAATACGAAACTTTTTGCTTTTTGCAAGGATAAAGTTTGAACTAAAAGATGATTCAGACTTCAGCAAGCGAATTTCACAAATTTCGATAAAAAATTAAAGGTAACTGTTGCAGAAATAATAGAAAAACTTTGAAGAAAGTTGTGCAAATTATTAAGCAATGTCAGTGTGAAATGTCAGCTATAGTTTTGCTTCATTAAGCAGAACTATAGCTTCACGTGACTGGTGGAGAAATCAACGGTCTCTTACTCATCTAAAATTCCATTTTTCTTGCTCCCCCTCCCCCCCCCCAAAAAAAAAAAAACAAAAAACAAAAAACAAAATCACTCAACAAAAATTATTCAGCATAACCTTGTCAATTAGTCGGAGATATTTAAGATATCCTTAGGTCATAGGTCTTAAAGAAATAATAAATGCAATAAAATTAAGCATATTTAGCACATACATGACAAAACTTCCTAATTTCTTCATTCTTTCTCTCAAATTTCCTTGTGAATAGGATCATTGGAGAAATCCTTCATTTATATGATTATTTCACAAGCCTTATAAAGAATAGAGATCCGAATGAAGAAGCAAATAGTTAAATTATAGTTAGGAATAGTTAAATCAATACAACAATTGTGTAATCAGAAATATTTCCTGTAAAAGTTCAAAAAAGTGAGCTTTTGCTTGCTTGAAGACTGATAATCTCTGATTAAATATGACTTTGCGATATTTTTTAAAAGGTCAGTTTAACTGGAACGAACCAGCGTACTCAAGCATGACATCCATCAGTAAAGTATGAACTCAGCAACCCTGGCAGCATTTCCAGCAGTACTATGTCAGTGGAGCAGAAGAAAATTAGACACAGAAAGCTGAATGCTCAAGTTTTTGCGGTTCTGTCTTCCTCAAGGCCTATCTAAGCACTGGCAAAATGTTACTTCATTAGTAGATATAAAATGTTGACACTAAATCGTGCAATTATTAGTTTTGAAAATTTGTCATTGTCAGTTGTTTTTATGGCAAATCAGAACAGAACAGATAAATTTAGAACAGCCCTTACTGAAAAGTCCTGATAGTGTGTACCATTGAGCAGAGATATGAATATCTATGACAAAGTGATTGCAACAGATTTTGTATTAACATTATGCTTTCTTAATCTTCCTCATGTCAATTTCAGTGGTATTTAACGGGCAATTATATTGAGCTCAAGCAAGGATGTATTACAGTGGCAAGATGTTATTCGCTCTTACGACCTGACTTCTGTTTTAGCATCGTGTTTACTAAGCAGACTGAACCTTGAGGAAAGCAGGACGAACATCTGTAAGATATTTTCCAAGAAACTTTAATTTCATCACTTTTATGGTAGAAGCAGTGAATTGAGATCAATGTATGCTTAAACAAATATCAGTATTTAATGTCGTTGTCGATTCAGCTGTATTTTGAGAGGTGAACCTTATTTTGCATCGTGCTCTGAGCAAACCAAAGCACACCGAAAAATTAGCAACAGCACTGTTTTGCATTGTTCTACTACTTTTTAACAAAAATGGGAATTGAAATATATGGATGAAACTAGGATTATTTGAAGAATGACAATGGGTATTCTGATAATTCAAAAAAAATTGACATTTCCTGTACGAACATTTTTTTCTCATTTGTAACGAGTATAGCTCCAGTGACTTTATATTCATTCACAAATTGTGTTATTTATACGCACCAATTCTAAAACAATTTCAGAGATACTTCTGTTATTTTCAAAAGTTTATACACTCTGCTATAAATTAAAAGTGACTGACATGAAATGAAAGGTCGCTCATTAATTACTGCTTATCTGATATTTCAAAAAATTCGAAACAAATCTTCGATAAAGAAAGTTAATAAGTCAGTCTGAACATCCCAGCAAAAGCGTTGTCAACACAACAATCTCTTTATGGGTTAAAAACAGGCGCTTTGCGTATGTAAGCGACGTTAACATATCGTTTAGTAAAGACTGACTCTGTCAAAGCGATAAGAAAAGAAATCTTTTGAGTTTCAGTTATTCTAAGAAAATTTAATTTTAACAAACCTACACATAACTTTCCAAAGTAACGTCAATTATATACTTGCTTCAGATATGCTGGTAAAGTTATGATATGTAGGTATATCTGCATGAATAAAAATACCCGACTCGGGAAGTACAATGGTAAAGAATAGTTGGGAAGGGATAAGAGGGAAAAATACTTCACAACACATTCACAACAGCAGAGAATATTTATTGCGTTTCGGTTCGCTTATCTGTCAAGGAATTGTGTATTCTAATGATGCTTTTCTCGAGAGCCATTAGCAAGCAATAAGTAGCGCAATGACTCATCCCCCGAGAATTGCCACGTCAGCTCGCAGCAAATCACATATACCCCACCACTGCTGACTGCTTACTAAACAGCTCCCCATTATTCATTTCATATCATTTATGAAATCTCGACCAACCTACAAACGCAGAAGAATAGATTGAAATCAGACAATTGTGTTAAGACCCGAGAAGGAAATATGATTGAAATGCTGAAAGATGTGAAGTGTCACCGTCGTACATTGGAAATGTCAACAGGTAACTCCAGAAAAGGCAGCGAAGAAAGAAATAAATCAAATAGACATAACCTGGGTTGCATCACTTGCGGGACTTGGAATGGAATGTCCTGTCATTGGTTTCTGTTGTAGTCCTACTTTTTCAAAGAAATTTCAGCTACTTTATGCCTCTCTTCTAAAAATCTTCAAAGGCCTTCTCGAGAGCCATAAGTAGCGTGATGATTCATCTCCCTAGAATTGCCACGTCAGCCCGCAAATCACATATAGGCAACAGTAGTTTCACTGCGCACAGGTGAACACTCACGACCTTCCGATACTACGTTTCAAGTCAGAACTGAATTCCTGGATGGAAAGATTGAAAACTGGCACTCACCCAATTTCACTGTTCATAATCTGACAATCGATTTTTGGTGTGTTTAGGGTGCATTCTGTTTGGAGTATTTGGATTGTGTGCGAAGAATTGTCTTGAATTACCATCGAATAATATTTATAGTAACACTCGTTATGGCAGGTTAGTTCTTTTTGCATTAGATTACTTGTATTTCTTAAATATTTATAACTGGTAAGCATTGTTGACCTCTTAAATCGTTGCGAATGTTAGAAAGATTTCTTTCTAACTCTTTCTAACTTTCTTTCTGCTTCTCTTTTTTCTTTTTTTCTATCAACAACCCTCGCTCATCGCGTCCTCTTGGAAAAATTTCTGAGGAAACCCCTTTCTAATTAGAGAAATTTACTGAGTGGTTAATCTAAAATCGTATTGCCGGTTAAGTTTTCTTTTGAAAGTAATTTAAGCAATGTTAAAAAAAGCGACTGTTGGTGAACCACTATTACGACATGGCGATGCATGAATAGGTTTAGATCTCTATGAAAAAGCCTTCATGTGTGATACTGACATATCACTTTTTATAACCGGTTGATCATCATTTTTTTCCCGCAAGATGGCCCAAATGCTTTATGTAGAAGAGGTGTGTCTAAAATTTGGAAGTAATGTGGCAGGAATGTTTTTGTTTAGTGGCGCCTCAATATTTTTCATTAGTTGACGTGTATTGTTTTTATAGTTAATTAAATGTTTTCAAACTTCATTTACAGTAGCTGGGAGAAGTTGGTTGACCATTATTATTACAGTTTGGAGCTTTAAATTTTAAAGTATTACAGCTTCACCTGAATATTTCTATTGGTTATTGGTTAAAATAAGAATTAGGGTAATAAACACTTTTTATCATTGGGAAATGTTTATTTCTGTGCTTCGCACTTAACGAACTTTTGGATGACTCTATGTGCCGTTGTGGAAGTATTTTCATGTAGAACGTCAAAATTAAAAAATGTAGTTGAATTTTCTTTGGTGACTGATGGATCTGTCATTGCATGAGGCTGAAAACACCAAAACTAATAAGTGTTGGTGAAACATAAATATTGCGAAACATTTTCGTTCATTTGAATATTCTTTTTGCTCTCCAACAGAGTTAATAATTTTTTGAAGTGTTAGACCTATATTGGGTATATATAAAAGGTAGTCGAGGTAGGATTTTTTGAAGAATCTGATATGGCTTTTGACGCTCAGGTATTTGCACTTTCACACTGTTAAATTTTTGAATTGTTGCTATATAATGTAGTCGTGTATTACTGTATATTTTTTATGTTTTCAGGAGTTAAAACCTCAAGGGAGATATTGAATGTAAAGCTATGAATGGGAATACACATTTATCTTTGCTACCTTAATTTCATTCGCATTTTAGCTTATGGAGCTGCAGCATTTCCTCCGCAAGCAGCAAATGCTGCGCAAGGAACTACTGATCCGAATGCATCCGTTGCTGTGGCTGCAACTTACCAGCAATATGATCCAGCAGCATTAGCGCAGTATCAACAGGTCAGTTCCGCTTTCTCAATGTTTTCCTTTTTTGAATAGTAAAACACTTTCTTGCTCTCAAAAATTCCAACAGAAATTAAACTTAGACGTGCTGAAATGTCTTCCTTTTTATAATATGAGATAAATGTGATAATACTTTGTTCTTTTGATTTAGCTTATGGTTTCATGTAAATCTCTAAAAATACTTTTTCATTTTCACTCCTGAATAGAATGAAAATTAAAGGATCTGTTATTAAAGGATTAAAGAAATGAGTAATGTTCAAAAATTTAAGGGATGTTTAAAGCATATTATTCCTGCTTTTTTTGACTAATTTAATTTCTCTCTTTATAAATCTCTATAGGCATGGCAGCAGTACTATGCAGCAGTAGGGCAGGCTGGCATAGCAGGTGGAGTTCCGGGAGTTGCGCCACCTGGAGCTGGATCCGTACCAACAGCCATACCGCAGGGAGTACCAGCAGCCACAGCTGATGTAGGCGTGATTAATGTTTGGATCTTTATATCCTCTTTTGGAAATGTTTTGGAGATTTATTTACTGCTGCTTTTCTTTTGCAGCCTAATGTCGCTCATAATTATTCGGGATATTTCGCGCAAACGGGGGCTCCTCAAGGACAAAATGGAGCATCAGTACCAGCATATGGTAACACTTCAGCCCCAGCTTATGGTGTACCACAAGGAGGTAGAAGGGGTGTACCACAACACGGTGGTTCTGTGACAGGCAAAAGTGCTTATGGTTATGAAGATGACCATATCGGTCGAGGTGGTTACGGAGGTAAGATCATATTTTGAACGCATTATATTTGACTGATTTAGCAGATAAATTTGCTGCAAAAAGTTATAGCGAGGCTCAAGAATCGCATGAAGATGCTATCCAGAGACTGCTGCATTTCTTTGTGCATATAGAATGCACGTTTTAGCTAATGTTATAAAAAAAATGCAGTATTACTTGACTCGGTTTCTGAAAATAAAAGCATGTTTGCGTAGCACGCATATTTTTGCTATTTGGACTGTTATAACTTACGATGTGACTGATTTCAGATGGTGGTGAACGTTATAGTGGTCGTGATGATCGAGGAGGTCGTGATGACCGTGGAAGTCGAGGGGGTTATGATAGAGACCGTGGTGGTTATGGAGATAGGGACAGAGGTAAATTTTTTTAATCATTCACCAAAAGAAAACAGTTTTCTGCACTAATCTCAGTTTAGATTATTTAAATTAGCTTTATTTCTTTTGAAACTTTTCTTGATTGTTTTTTAAAACAATTTTTGTAAATGAATTTTTTTCCCTGAACGCTATGAACAATTTTTTTTTGCATAAAAGTTTGCTTGATTATCTTCAAATGTTTCTTATATTCCCAGATCGTGGTAGTCGTGAAGACAGAAGTGGACGAGATCGTCCGAGTCGTTGGAGCGATGAACGTGATCGTGGGGGATCAGGCAGTGATGACTATCGAAGCGGGTCAGTCATTTTTTTTTTTTTTTTTCTACTTATTTAATGTTCTCATCAGTTAACGTTCACAAATATTTGTGATATAGATTGCTGGGAATATTATCTTGTGGCCAGGTCGGTAGTTCTTGTTGTTAGAGAATGTGTTAATATTTTGTTGCTTTCATAAACTGTTTTGCTATGAAAAGTAGCGCAGGTAAGGTTTTTTAAAAAATATTAGCTATTTCCATGTATGAAGAAAATTGAACAATGTCAATTTGATTAAAAAACAAAACAAAATATTATAGTTTGTAGCCTTCCAGCAAAAACGTGAATTTTGCTATATGTTATTCTGTATAGTATATTTACTCAGGCAAAGAGGGAAAAAAGATCGGTTATAAACTGTTATAAGCAGGGAGGCGTTTAAAAGTGAGTACCTTGCTCACGTGAATCTGTGATCAAATTCTTTATTTGTTCTTAAATGTTTGCAGGAAGCAAGTTTACGGTTCGTCAATTTTCTTATAATTTGCTAAAGGTTCACTTTTTTTAAGACGCATATTGTTCAGTTTAGGTTAGGTTGACATATATATCAGGTAGCAATATGTTCGAAGTTGCATATACGTATTAGGCAGGGGATCATCGAAGTGAATGGTATCTTGTATCAGTCCTGCAGTCGCTCCGCTGAGACATTCTTATTAGGAAAGTAATTTAATAACGATTTTGTCTTGCACAACTCTGCACAATAAAAATTAGTGAGTTGGTTGTATCTTTTTTAAGTTCTAATTTTTTATAAAAAAGATTTTAATGAATTTTCGAAAAGAAATTATTGATGCAGCAAAAAAAAAAAAAAAATGCAAAGGATGTAGCATGCATATTTTTGATCTATTTTCTGAAAAATTGCTTTCTTTAAAAAAAAAAATTCGTTTTGATTATTACAATCGTTTTGCACCCATATAAATTCGTTATTTATTAATACCAGACACTTCGAATTTACGTGTTTATTGTTCCTACGTTAGATCTGTTTATTGACAAGCTGAACAATGTGTGTTTTATAATGAAATAGGAAGCCTTCTTGTTTGTGAAGCGTGGTTATAAATAGTTGAAATTCCGAGAAATTATTGTATTATTCATTATTGACGAAATTATGTTGGTTTAGCTTTTCATGGGATACACAACGCGGTGCTTCATGTGTATTCGACGCTGATTCCACGGAAAACTAACGATTACTCTGTTTCATTCTCTCACCCTCTAAATTATAAGTTTTTGTAACAGGGGGAAAGATAGTGCTCAGCAGTTAAAGAGTGAAACTCGTACTTTGATTGCGAATTCAAGCTGCTTACAAGAGAGTCTATTGAGGATATTTTGACGTCACAAAGTTTCAAGGGTTCTTCGGTCGGAGTGTATGAATTTTTTAAATATTGGGAAAAAGGTATACATTTTATTAAAGTAGTAGGGGTGTCCTGGCCACAAGTTTTTTAATTTCGAAAAAAAAAAAAAAAAAAAAACAGTTAACGAGAGTCTGAAGAGAATAATCGTCTACGGCAGCTACCACCAATTCATCAAGGTCAAAAGTCAATGTGTTGTTTCAGACCGGGCGCTGGAGGCCCGGGCGCTCGTGGAGGCTATCAAGGTAGAATTATCGAAGTGGGATATATTGTATATATATATATAGATATATATGTGTGTGTCTCTCTATTCAGGGGATCTGTGTTATAATGCTTCGGTCTCTGTGCATTGGTTGGGTGTCACCAAAACAAAACCTGATTTGTATATCCTTAGGACTTCGAGTCAAACAAATACTAAAGGAGGGTTTTACTAATAAGAAGGTGTGTTTGTCATATTAATTTAACATCAGTTGTGAATTGTATTTATGATTTCAGTACTTTTATGTTCAGATAGAGTTGGGCCTCGTTCTGGTGGTGGATATGGAGTTGGATCACGTGATGATCAAATCGAAGTTCGGGAAACTGTCTTCATCCAAGGGATACCCGTGACGTACGTTTATCCACACTTGATTAATTGAAACGAGTTATTTGCTATTGCGTTCGTGCTGTGTTTAGTCTTTTCTCTTTATGAAAGTATGTTCAATATTTTTCGCATTTATTTTCACGCTTTTAAAACTAAAAATTTCAAACATTTTTATTCAAAAAAAGCATTTAAAAATATATAAAATCTGAAGTACGTGGGGTGACACTTAGGTTCAACGAAACGAACATGCTGTAGTTTGAAATGCAACTGTTTTTGTTTTTATAGAGCAAATGAGCAATTTATTGCTGATGTGTTCAGTACTCAAGGAGATATAGCGCGTAACGAGCGTACTGGTGAGCCACGGATTAAGATTTATACTGATCGTGAAACAAATCAGCCGAAAGGCGAATGCACAATTACATTTGTCGACGCGAAAACTGCTGAAAGAGTGATTAATGTTTATAATGGTAAATCGGTTATTGTTTCCACTAAATCTTTCTGAGGAAAGTGGGTAAGTTAACATTTAGCCAGCCATGAATGTTGGAAGATGGTGTTTTCTATGTGTATTTCTAGGACAATGTTTTCCGGGAAGTGAACAGTGCATGAGTCTCAGTTTTGCAAAATATAAAACAGACATTTCGCGAGGTAGTGGAGTTAGAGGCGGCCGCGGCGGTTTTGGTGGTGATCGAGGAGGACGTGGCTTTGATAGAGGTGGAAGAGGAGGTTATTTTCTAATTGTAATCCGTCTTAATGATTATTTCAGTCGGTGCTTCTGTTTGTTTTCCGTATACATTTAAATAATGAAGTTCAGGTGGTTTTGGTGGTAGAGGACGAGATGAAGGTGGATATGGAGGCGGTAGTGGAGGTCGTTACAATGATCGTGATGGTGGCGGACGTGGCGGTCGTTTTGGTGGCGGTGGGCGAGGTGGTTTTGATGACAGAGGAGGCTATGGTGACAGGGGAGACAGAGGAGGACCTTTCGGTGGTGGGGGATTTGGCGACCGAGGAGGACGCGGTGCCAGGGGTGGATACAGTGGACCGCGTGATGATTATGGGAGAGATGGTAAGTCTTGAAGAATCACTCATATCGTGTACTGTTTTTAAATAATTCGAAGCTTAGCATTTGTATTTTGTAAGCATGTTTCACAGCTTTAGATATGTGACTTCTGTAAGTCAGTGCTCATAATTTCAGGTCGTGGAGGTGGAAGAGGTGGTCGTGGTGGTGATAGAGGTAGTCGAGGTAACGACAGAGGAGGTCGTGGAAGAGGTTTTTACTTTAGAAATTATTTTCCACTCTGTAATACTTATTTTCTTGACTTTATTATAGATTGAACATAGACAAGTTAGAAAGCTGCATTTAGACAGTAATGTTTGCCTGAAACTTTCAGGACGAGGCTCGGGGACTGGAGCTAATACGGAGCCACGACCCAACGATTGGTCATGCGATGGCTGTGGCAACACTAATTTTGGTTTCCGACAAGAATGCAATCGATGTCACGCTCCTCGACCTGGTGGTGGCAACAGTGGCATAGGACCGATGCGAGGTGGTGGTGGACGAGGACGCGGCGACCGATCAGCTCCTTACTGATGACCCTTGTTGTTGCATATTGTCACACTGCTTTGTTATGTTTACTGCACGTTATCGAAATGAAAAATGAAATTCTCCAAAAAAAAGAAAACTGAAATTTTCCAAAAACACTTATGGATATTTCTCCTTACTCTAATCTGAATCCTCAAATGTTCACGAACTTCACTACCATCTTAATGTTCTTCATGTTGCGTGCATTTGTTGTACCATTTACATTTGTGGAGTATTATGATTTTATATTACTTGCATAGTTCCCATTTCTTTATTCATATTCAGTTTTACTGAGGATCGTTGTAGTTGACTTTAACTTTACTTATACTTTTCTGAAAAGTCTTCTTTCGTGTTTAGATCCATGAAACTCATTGTTGTCTGTTTTTAATTATTTTGATAAAGTATTTATCCGACAAAGACATCCTTCCACATTTCGCAAGCATTTGTAGAAAAGTGACAACTAATGAAGTACTACCATGAGATGAATAATTGTTGTATTCTTTCTAGGCTTGTTACCTAGGTTTTAGAAGTAATAAAGCTGTGGGACTTCTAGAAGTGTGAACGCCGTGAAGAGGATCAATACATGTTATTTCATGGCATTAAAAACAGAGACTGTACAAGCGCATTACACGGGGTACTGCGGTCGTTCTTCGCGAGGAGTGCACTGATGATTCCAGCCGAGAAATGGCTTTTCTCGCAAAATCCTTCGCATTAAGAGACATCTGCCATTTCGTGATTTCATTAGTGCTTCAGGCGTGTCTAAAATGGGTAATGAAATCATTTTAAGATGTCGTAAAAAAACATCAATATCAAACAATACATGGTGCATAATATAAGGGAAATTTTACAATGTCGCGGAACGATGTCAAGGAGGGATTATAAAGTCATGCTACTTGTCTTAGCTCCCTTTTAAGCTGTCAATAATGTGTAAAATATGCAAACAATATATCATAAGTATCTTGTTTCACACTTAATTGTGTAACTAAGGACAGCTAGTTATTCTCAGTAATGGTAATTAGTGTGTTTAACTTCTCTAATTCGATCTAAGCAATTTCTTAAAGCATATCACGAAAATAAGGAAAAGGACAACTTACTATGTTTAAGTTTGTATTTAATCAAAAAAGGGAAATAGACTGGTTGCCAATTACTTCGATGCCATGGACAATTATTGCGAACAGACAGAACCATTGCACCGAACGGGCGTAATAACATCTGGAAATAACTAAGTGAACAACTCTAGAAAACTCAAGCGGACAAACCAACAACACTAACTCACCACAAGCCACCGAAAGTGCCAACAAATACCACACTCTGCATATCAGAGCTGCTTCCGACCAAATCAGAGTAACATACCTTTAATTTTAGTAATGGGTGGTCGTTGATCATTGAGATCTCTTCCAGACCTATCTCTTAGGGTGTTGTGGTATCGTCGCTGTTGTTGATCTTACTTATTCTGTTAATGCCCAATTTGCAAAGCTAAAAGTCGTTGTCTTCTAGAAAAAAAGTTTACAGAATTTCAGGTGCATTTTTTATCCATCATTTGTTTCGACGTGATGGAGCAAATATTAGATGTAGAATCTTTAAAAAAGCTTACACCCGAACAGCAGAAAACTTTGATATCTGGTGTTAAGCAACAAGCCGCTATCTTAAACGCCCAGAATATGATTACTGTAAGTTTTCTATAATTTCATATTGACATAATTTTCAGGACTGCTATAGTTTATCTATTCACAAATTTCGATAGCCACTTTCCCGAAGAAATTGGTCCTTATCTCTTCTTCTTACGGAACAAGAAAATAATGAACCAATTTTATTATAAACGTATACCTATTTGAGGATTTGTCGGAGAGATGCTTAACGAAGTGTATCACAAGTCCAGGTAGCGCGTTATCAAATACCGAGAGACAGTGCTTGCAAAGGTAATTTATTATATTTCATAGCATTACGTTAGAAGTTGCAAAACAGAATAATTAAGTAAATATAACGTAAGTATTATTTTTTTTTCCTCGTTATTTTCTGTTTGTTGCTGTTCTGGCTCCTAAATATTGCAAATAAATGATGAAGTCAGGATGTATAAATTAAATCATTATTCAATAAAAGGTCATAATCTGTTCGTGTCTGCATACATTTAATGTAATAACCTAAAGCCTGATTCCAATTACGTTGTTATGACATGAGAATTAGAGGCAGCGTTAGATGCACAAAACGTAATAGTGAGTGAGTTTTAGCTTTCAAATTATATATATATATATACATATAGACTGATGGTCCATTATTTATATATTGTGATATTCCTTATAGGTGTATGGATCGCTTCATGGAAACGTATAACTTAGTCTCACAAACACTGCAAAAACGCGTCCAAGAGGAAATAGCTGCTTCCACACGAATGACGTAAGCCGATACCACTTCCTTAGCGATAGTTTATGATAATTGCATTCTTTCTTGTGTTTTATTGTCTAAATGTTGTTATGTTTATTTACAAACTTGAAAACATCCAGTGAATCATTTGACAAGTGGAACTTTGAGACAGATTATATGATGACTACGAACAAGATGTGTCCTCTTCACGACGGTAGGTAGTTGACCTGCACTACCCTGGTGAATTTCGTTTATCTTTCTTTTACTCTACAGCATACCTGATTATATTAAAAATTTATATAAAAGATGAGAACTGCAATAATTCTTTCTAGAAGTTTAAATATATTGTTTGTAACTTATCACTACATTTCATTTCTGTTTTAGTTGCTTCCCGTTCAGATGTTGTTTTAAATTGTAAAAATCTTGGTGCACACTTTTCGTGTAATAGCAACTAATAATGATTTTTTTTTTTTTTTTTTTTTTTACAAACTTGATCAAACTTAACAACAGTAAAGAAATAATACACAAAAAACAAAACACCCGTACGTTACATTACATCGCTGTATAATCGGATCTAACATTTGCAACTGAGAAGGGAAATAAATCGGTTTCTTGAACACTTAGGCTCCGGTACCTCCCTTAGAATCGGACTTTATTTAAAACTTTTAAATTTTTTTTTGCCTTTTCGATTGGCGAACTTGCTTGGTTCTTCAAGTAATTCATGAACACTTTTGGATTCGGCTCTGGAATAATTCATGCATGGAAACATTGAAATTTAATTATGATAGTTCTTGAGACGGCGTGGAAGATCCTTTCGAACACAGTATTCGAACACAGTACTCGTAATAAAAATTGATTCTGCGATGATGAATTTTCTTCTTGCTTATAATTAAAGAATTTCTTAAATTTACCTTGATGATTTAACCGATAAAATCATGCCAGTTTTCTTAACTGTCTTCAAATCGGTACTCTGCAAAGCACTCATCCAATCATCTTCATTTCCCTTGATTGCATACTGCTTCAATTCTCGACCAATTTCTTCTTTAAGTCTCGTCCGATCTTTATCTTGTCTTTTTTTGATTTCTACAGCTGCCTGGTGAAGCTCATCCTATAAAGAGACAAGGACATTTTTAGAATTAGCCTAAAAAATCTATTTTGATCAATGATTTTATATGAATCGAACGAACAAAACTTACATCAAGAGAGATAGCAACAGGCTGCATGGAACCTGCAAGAACTGAAAGCCCACCGATTCCCTGACCATCAATTTCTTGCTGTACTGCATTCATACAGAGCTGATCGAGGTATTCAGAAAGTTTTCGGATAGCTTTGTTGAATAAAGCTAGTAACTGATTAGCAGGTAAGTCAAGTTCTGTTACCAAAGTATCCACCGTCTTATGCTGCAGTCCAGTGCCTAACAAAATCGCTGACTGCACAGTACTTAGTTTGACCTAGAAATCGATTAAAACCAATTAGTAATGAAAGAAAGTAACTAAATTTATGCCATAAGAATAGTTACTTCTTATTCTCTCTACCAGTACTCCATGTTTCTATCATTCTTATTGACAAAAAATTTCGAGATGCTAATAAGCTTTACAAAAATTACAGACACTTTAGCATGAGGAGTAAACCAATAAAACATGAAGTCAAGATAGGTTAAAGTCATCCTGACCTTCCTATGTACATTAAAGTATACGGAAATTAATATTTTACCAACTTTTTCATCGAATCGTTCTTCGAAATACAATAAAGCAAGTACTGGTAGTATATCGGTAATTAGATGATGATCGATCATGTTTCGTGCGTACTCAGATAATCGACGTAAATCACTGTTTGAAAGGAATAATCCAAGTTTTTCTCTGGTCAGAACTGAAAAAAGCTTTGAAATTAATCAAAAACTTCTATGGGGTACAAATTCTTCAGCAAACCGAAAACAAGTCTTTTATTTATTTAAAGATTATTTGCTAATTTAAATAATTTAATAATTTACCATCTCTTTTGCACTGTTTCATGATTCCATTATTTCTCAGCTGAAGAATACTGAGGGCCATCTGCGGCAAAAATTTATTGAACTCAAATCCAAACAAATGCAAAATTCGACGTCGAAATTCAGTCCAGTATGATAAAAGCCAAGAAGCAGTGCTCTCGTTTAAATCTTCCTCATCTATAAATACTCTATCTCGCAAATGAAGGAAGTGTTATTCAGCAATAATAAAAAGAAATACGGATATACCTTTATTCATATCCTTCAACATAATGCAAGTATGTTCACCAGTGAGGTCGCAAACAGACTGCCTGAGATAAACCGGTACAAACCCCGCACGTTTCCAGAATTTAAGTAGTGGTAAATTTAAGCCAAACGAAACACCTAAAATGAATATGAAAAATGCACATAACTGAAAAGTTACAAAATTTTCTGAATTACATTTTCAGCTAGAACTAAAGAAATATGAAGTTGAAAAACATATGCAATACCAATATAATCCAATCTCTCAGCACGCCGTTCACTTAAACGATGTAGAAGTGGTGGTAAATCAGCGCGTGGTTCAATAACTTCTTCCAGCAATATTAGTGCATCAGGATTCTATAAAACATTCATTATTTTCTCATTATTCTGTGATACAGTGCCTAGAATCAACTACCAATTATTAAAAAACCATTGTTTAACATAAATGAAATAGTTTTATTTCTCAAATCATGATAAAACAAAACTACCGATCACGGTATAGAATTTCACCAACATTATTCTGAATAACAGAATAGTCCTAATTGTCATTTAAAAGAACTGTTTACCTCGATATGTTTGGCTTTTGCTTCCATATTAAAATCTATCTCTTCTTTGAAACATGGTACCTTTCCTTGATAATATTCCAAAAGCAACTCGAGAGCTCGTGAACCATATCCCAGTGCTGAAACACGTTGTCGTCAATATTATTATATTCCTCACCAACCAAAAAAATTACTATTGTAAGCATTCCATTTAGCACATTACTATTTTGTGAGCATAGACCAACTAACACTGAAAATCAGGATGTACTGCTATTCTCACAATTCGTGCTCCACTCAACGTTGGAAATTCTTTATCCTGAAATGCTAACAGTTTTCACAGTAAATAGTGGTCAAACAGCAGGACAACCCAAATTTTCAATTTGATTCCTTAAAATAAACATAATTTGAAAATTTTAAAAGCACTGCAAATTTTTTCAACATGAACGAATACATATCTTTGTCCTATACACTAAGAACTTTAAAGAAATTTTAAAGAAAACCACATCTTACCATGAACTGTTGCGATACAGTCCACGGCAACAAATCACCCGCTGCTCTTTTTCCTCTTCCCATATTACTGCATACTGTCGCAGAAGATAAAGCACCTTCCATTGCTATTTGTATAACTGTCAGAATCTGTGTTGCAATACGTTTAGTTCAGAAAAACATGAAAAATTGTTTGCTTATTATTCTGCTATTCCCTTATTAACTTATTATTATTAAAAAAAACTGTTTTAAAACATATAAGTTAAGAAGAAAGTAAATAGAAACCTCTGGAAGTTGCGCATGCGTTTCGTTAATTGGTCCCACCAAAACAAACAAATGATGTGCCGGAGCATCCGACAACATCTATAATAAAAAACACTTGATAGATATGAATATCAACATCAAAATTCGACTTTTACTTAAATAAATTTTAAAAAATATTTAGGCACTTAAAAAATATGATAAAGTTTTACCTGCAAATCATTAGGTGAGTTTTTGTAATGTGCTGAGACATATATTGCCATAATGCTATGAAGAAACGTTTCGGAAGCTTTATGGAAAGAAAACAAAGTATCTCGGTTGACATACAACCTAAACCAAAAAAATAGATATTATACAAAAAATCAAATTCTGAAACTCATACAAAAAATATTTTTAAGCTTACAACTGACAGTCCTTGGGAGGTGGCATTCCCGATACCAATCGATGGGCATTGCAAGCATTTAGGCATAAGACACGATTTAACCAAGTTTCAATCTAAAACAAAAATTGTATTAAAGATTCATTAAACTTACCATTACTGAAAGTAAGGTTTCTTGAAATGAAATATAAAAGATGAATACGAGTTCATAAGATGGAACTTCCACCTAAGATGGAATTAAGTGACTGGCTCCAGTAATAAATGTAACCAAAAAAAAATGGAAAACAATATCTATTATTCTAGTCCATTCTCCAGAAAAGCTACATAATCAATGAAACCTACTTGATCTCCTGGTTTGTATCTGATACTTTCTTCGAGAATCAGTTCGTGTAATGCACGTCCTAAAAAGTCATTTGCTTCAGAGCATTCAACAATTTCTTAGTAATATAGAAAACATACTCAGAATTTTCTCAAGAAAGGAACAAAATGTATACATCCAAAGCATGTATTAAAAAAAAAAAAACCTTTCACAGCAGTTAGCACTTGTTCATTATTATCATTTTTCAGCAAACCAGCTGCTTGTTCACGGAGTTGCTGCAACAATTTCAATGAAAGCGACCTTCCAGTTCCTTCATAACCGCTGACTGTCGAGGCAAGAAAGACAAGATACGGTCCTAAAAGCAGTTAAACATTACAAAGCTTTGAAGAAAATCTATACATTAATAATTTTCTCAATATTCCTCAGAAGCAAACATAAGTAGTACTTTGGACTAGGCATGCATGCATGCAGTTTCCGATATTGCCTTTATAAATATGGCGTAATAACTGTTCCTGAAAATTTAAATGAGCTACTTACATCTCTTCTATTTTTTCTTCAAAAAAAAAAAAAAAAACAGAATAAAAGTCTGTGTAGATAAAAGCTGTGGAAGGAATACAAAATTTTCATTTGATGTTTGCAGAATCTTTTATTGTAAGTCTTTATTTATCTTGGATAAATCAAAGATTCTACGGATCCACTGAATTCTAAAGTGATGCAAATAGCTTTAAAAAGAAACAGACTACCTGAAATTAAGTTTTTTACAATTGGGAATGGAATGGCAGCAGCTTCATCGACTACTACTAGCTCAGCCTGCGATAATTTAACCGAATCCCCAGGATCAATGTACTGCAAAAAATTTACTTGATGCTGAATCATATTTTTTAGAGAACTTATAAGTGAAAAACTGATTTTTCATTAGAAGCAGGAATAACCTGAATGACTTGTCGATGACCTTTGAAGATACTGATTCGGACCAACGCTTTGTTATATTGTTTATTAGTTGACTGAATTAATTCAAAATCTGTGTGCTCTTCATAATTCATAGCCTCCAAACCTTTGACAACAAATTCAAATAATGTCTTGAGATTATCAGGTGCTGGACTTGTTACAAATATGTTTGCATAGTCAAAACCAATAGCACCTGCTATGGCTAGTCCAAGAACAGCTGATTTACCCCGACCGCGAGCTGCAGTTATGCAACATGTTGACTGCAACGTTTTCTCAGTTATCACATCCAAAAGCTTTAACAGGGTCTGAAATATTAAAGTGATTACATCTATTTTGTTGCACTCTTTTATTAAATTTGGAACAGTAACAAATGTAGGGAATTCGAAAACTTGAAAGCTTACATTAGTAATCCAATTAAGAGACTTATTAGTAAATTAATTAATTGAAAATGAGAAAAATAAATAAATACGAGCATACCTTTGCCTGACACAATGTCCTACACTTGTTTAGCAAAAAACTCAGCGGTTTAGTTTCACTTAGTGAATTCTTTAGGGATACTAATTCTTCCTCTTGCATGCTAAACTTGTTCTGCAAAAATAAGGTTCATGAGTTGTGCATTAACTTTGAAATTATATTCAGGAAACAAAACAAGTGATACCCTAATATTTGCAGGAATTGCATCAATTTTCAAAGTATGAGATGACAGTGGTAAAACATTCAAGCGATCATCCACAACTGCGCAACTGCGGCAGCTTGCCAAAGACAGTATAAACCTTTCATTGAAACGGGGAACCACTTCAGAATGCGATTCCGTACGGAAGCGACTATGGACATCCTAAAAATTCTTTATATTACATATCGAAAACTAAACACTAATCAAGAGTAAGTGAAGAATAAAGTAAAACCTGTCTGAAAAATTCATTTTTAATGATAACGAAAATAATGTCTATGCAATAGAAAATAGTGCACTTTTTTTTTTTTAAAAAAAAAAGATAACCATAGCCATTGTATATAACTGTTTCAACGAGCTGACACTCTTTAGCAACAATACAATCACTCCACCTCCTTCAACCGTTTCAACAGTTCGCGCTAGAAGATTAGGTGTAATTGCTTCAAAATCCTGAAAAAAATATTAAAGAAACCTAAATCCAAAAACATATTAGCTGCAGATAAATTGCGATGTAACAAACTCAAAATGCTCTTGAAGTAATGATAACAGAACCTGAAGTATAAGCATTCCAAAAGTACTGCCAAGGATTTTATGTGTTTCTGCATAGTAACAATAACGGATCTGTGTTGATGAAATGAACAATTCAAATGGGTCATTATCCTAAAAAAATTCTAGTAACCAAGGACAAGAGACAATTGTTACTCGAAAAAGTTCCAACCTCATCTCCCATTAAAAATAGTTCAATTTCGGATTTTCTTGCTTACATCTTTACAGTTCTTCAAAAATCAGATACGAAGCAACCTTTACATGTATATGACTATTGCGTATTTTCTTTTTTAATTCCTTCATTCGTTTTTTACGATGTGAACTGAATCCAAGCTCTTTTTTATAGCACCACAGAACAGAAGGCCGAGCAGCAACAGTTGCTTTCGATAACACATGATGAAGTATGACAACCTGTAGCGCAAAGAAAACGTTAACGTAAACAAGTTGACGCAAAGAGAGAGAAAAAATTCAGATTTGATTTAAAGCATGGATGGGATTTTCAGCACCAAGAATACACCCGCAGAAGTCACTTCACTTACACAATAAAGTGAAGTGACTAAAACTGTAAGCTTCATATATAATATGGTTGAATCATTTTTTAACTTCTATGAGCATGAGCAGTGAGAAACAAAATAGGAAAAATGGAACCTGATCCTTCCCCTTGTCACCAATAATAACAAACATCGAACGGTGACCCATAGCGACTCCATTCTCGATAAGAATTCTAATCCGGTTATCCAGCTTTGTTCTTACCATATCTGAATAATACCTAAGATGCTTAAATTAAATATGCAGATGTAACCAACAAATTAGGAGAAGTTAAATACAACTTTAATACTTTTGTCGAAAAGATGAGTGGAAATAAAAAATGAGAAAACCGACTACGGATCTACTGAAACAGAATACAACATTACTCGAAACCATACGCAAATCCGGCAGGACATCCCACCCACGCAACACCTTGAAAGCCCTCCATTCCGGCCAGTCCTTCTTAAAGCAGCGCTGTGCAACAGTGACTAGTTCGTCTGTGATTATGAAAACTCTGACTCGCAGCTTGATCCATAATTGCTGCACAGGTTTAGCTTTGTAACTGGATGCTTTTTTTTTTGTACACTGGATGCTTCTCTTTTTTGTGAGGTAGACCAGTTAAGTGTTAGAGTTTAGAATAAAAGTGAAAAGTGGAAGCATTGCTTTATTTCATTTTTATAATTAAAGAAGTAAGGCTGTGCTAGAAGAGAGGCCTTCCTGTTTCAAAGCAGCTACCTTTGCGTCTGCTGTCACAGAGGGCTGCTTTGCTAATGGATCTAAGAGCTAACCCGGTGGATAGTATGTGATACGAATCAGTTTTGTAAATATCACAGTTACTATCTCCTCATTTTTTGAGACAATCGACATCATGTTTCATAACATTTAAATTTGTCTCTTTATCTGTCATACATGTATAGCTTAAAATCTTGTCATGTCTACCAGATATAAATGCTTTTTGTTTTTTATACAGCATAAAACGACATTTATGTTTAAATATCATACATTAATTGCAGTACTGCCAAGTGCAATATGTGAAGTGGCAAAAAGCTTATGTGTTGTTTTAATAATTTTACTTCATTCACAAATGTGCTGTAAGCGGAAATTGGTGAAGAGGAGAATAAAAGTACCGATGTGTACAGTACGGCAAGGTTTCTTAAAAAAGACAGATTCATCAAAACCACAAACTGCGACTAGTTCCACAAAAAGCGCTGTTAGTCAAACGGTTCGTGCAAATTCGATTTTTATCGAAGGTTGTGCTTGCCAGATGACACTCAGTTATTTCAATTTTTTTTCCGAAATTTTTTTCCGGAAGTAGAGCAAACAGACGATTCGGAGGAAAAAAAAGAAGGAAAATCAGGAAGGATAAGAATCAGAGGAAACAGCTGATTCAGTTTTTTGATTCTTTTTGAGCAACGTTAAATTTCAGAGCAAGTCCCTTCTAATGTTCATTCTCAGACTTAGTGTCTCATTACTCATTTTTCCTCCTCCTGAAGGACGAGCCTTTTGTTTCTGCAGTATTTTGATTAGAAACCTTAAACTTTTCTGTTCTCAAAAGGTTGATTATGCTGATGTCATACGACATGTGGTCGTATCATAAAAGTGAAGCAAAAGGGAAGAAATCTTATGCTTCAGTGAATGCATCATAAAATTGCAGAAAAATAAGCAGCCAGTAGACAAAACAGTAGTAATAAAAGTGGCCAAAAAAATCGACATTGGTACGCCAAAAGAAATGGTATTTGATTTTTTCTGAATTATTGTGAATTAGAAATTATGGGATTTAAGCAAAAATGGCTTCTTGTGTGCAAATCGCTTCCTTAATATATTCATATCTTCCTTAGTAAAATTATATAAACTTCTAAACTTGCATCAGATTATTGAAATTTCTTCAGATCACTATTCAAGTGATTTATGTTATTCTCTGTTCCCTTTGCTTTCTAAAATTGAGACTTCACTTCTTTCAATTTTTTTGGTTTTGTATGTGGGAGATCCTATGGTTTTAAAAGTAATTGTTGGAAAGCAGTATCAGACCATTGAGTTCAATAAGTTTTATAACTGTATAAAGTTAGAATGAAAGTTTTTCAGACAATGAGAGACAAGATCTCGAACACAGTCACCGGATTATTTAAAAAGGTTTGTGATAAATCTAGATTGATTCTAAATTTGTGTGTCTGCTATCGAATTTTTTTTTTTTTTTGTTAGCTCAAATCGTTATAAAGTCGAGGAATAAATTTCATTGTGGCTTAAAAGATAAAAATCTTAGAAACCACTGGAGAAGTTATGGGCCACTAATGTGCCTGAAAGGCTGAGTGCTATAAAAGCATTAAATATTTGTTCTGTTTGTTACAGAAAAAAGATTTAGAAGCAACCCAAGAAGATGGATTCGATAGCGATAGAAGGTAAGTAGAGAGTAAGACTATATTTTTTCACAATGGACTTTCTGCATTGAATTAACTTTCAACCCTTCTCCTGATCTCAGCTAAATGTTTCTTTGCAGTAGAGATATTGTAGAAACGACGAACGTGAAATGTCTAGGCAATTTGGACGAAATTATAAAGGTATAACTTTTGCAACCATTAAACTTTCCACAGGAAAAGTCCATTCAAACAACTTCAAAATTATGTGAGATAAGATCTGAATAATATAAATGACGTTGCATAGATTCTACAGAAAATACTACTACAATAAGTAGGTATTATCATATATAGTTATATATTAGCCTATCAGACTTGAAAAAGAATTTATTAAAAAAAAAAGAAATTAAAAGTAGTTTATGAAATACTGCTTTTCGCTTTCAGTTGTAATACAGTCTTCTGCAATCTTCATGAGTGACATTTCAACTTCAATTTTTTCGATTTTTCGAAACAAAGAAATTGAAAACTTGACACACATGTTAATTCATGCAAACAATGATTTGAACTTAGATAATTGAATTCTATGGTTGAATCAGTATGATAATTACTAGAATTTTAAGCAGCTTCGCTCACACATATGTAATGCTAACACAGATAGAGAAATAAAAGATTGGAAATAAAGAATGAAGTACCGTGTTATTTAAATTATTCCATACTTGACGAATTTCACTGAAGTTTCGCGTTTCTAGAGAATGTAGCTAGAGCTTCATTTTGACTTTATTTCTACATTCTGTTTTCCTTATTCATCTTTTGCTTTGTAGAATCGCAAATTGAAAATAAATAAAGAGATAGAAGAAATGAAATCTACACATGAAATGGATGATTTCAAACCTCTTAAGCCAGTTACCGATCCAAAATTGCATGTGAAAATTGCGGAGAAAAAATGTATCCTCTACGAAACGAACGATGAGCCAACTTTAGACGATGAAATAGAGGAAAGGATACTTTAATACCAATCAAAACTTCAATTTATTGTGCTTGCAATTATTGATATTGTTTATCTTGAAATTAGAATGTTAAAAAACTTTCACATCTGTCATATTGGCATCTATTTAATTAGAATTCAACTCAGTAATCAGTTATCATCCACAATTCATATCTTTTTCTCTCATGGGTAAAAAACATTCATCAAGTGAATATATGAATTTTTTTGACTGAAATAGGGAGGTGCTCAATCATTTACAAAGAATCATTATTAGTTAGATGAGAATTAGAAATTCATCACTTTAAACTATTAATTGAAACTGATTATTGTCTCTTCCTTTCGTCCAATATGTTGGGAACATACAGCAGGATTGATTGATCTGAAAAAAGCAAAGCAATAGTGAACTTCGCAGTTCATGGAATCTGTCATTCCTGCTCCTTTCAAAGCTGGTAGGTAAATCATGCATCATTGCTCTTATCGATTTCTATTAAATCTCTACTTTCATTTCTGATGTTCCCTGTAGAAAATCTGAGTTCCGGAAATATTTGGCTCAATTTGTAAGAAACCAGTAATCATGCAGAGAAGACTAGGAAATTTTCGCAATTTTTTTCTTTTATCTTTTTCTTTGCAATTATTGATCCTTTCCGAATGTTTGGTCAAACCGTACAACTGTAAACAAATACAGTTACCCCATCCAGTTGCCCATTTCTCATTCTTCCTAAGCTTTCTTTAACTATCGAAAAGTAAGCAACTGATGAATCAAGTGAAGGAATTGGAATTGTAATCATACTGCTGAGGAGGTGAACTGGCAGTCATAGCGTTTAATTTAAGATCGTGTCTCGTGTATGTCACAAACTCAAAGGACGAAGATAAGCAATTATCTAATCATGTGAAGACACAAATTCGCAGTGAACAGGGTAGGTAGAGAAAGAGAGAAAGAGAAAGAGGACATTTTGTTAAACTTTTCTGTTTAGGCTTAGAACTTGAAACGATGGGAAATAGAAAGAATACCATCCTATTTCTTTCAATAAGAATTCGTATATTTTCTCTTTCAGTTTGTTTGAAAAGTGGCAGAACACTTTTCTCGGAGACATCGCACTCATCACGTATCTCTTGCCAGCAGAAATCTTTGTCATCAAAAAATCTTTGATTATTTCCAGTCTTGGTAAAAGCAGTCTCGTCCTTTAGAGAATTATCCTGAAAACTTGAACTGGAGTCTAGAATTAAGCAAGGTGCAGAAGATTCCTCACTTGTTCCAGTTATGAATTAATTCATGCGTGAGAAAAAATTTTTCTTACTTGTATAAAGGAAATTATATAAAGGAAATTATGTGACGATCAGGAAATTTTTCATTTCATCAGCTAATACTCTTGTCTGGATTAGTTTTTAGAAGAATGTTTTTAAGATTACATTCCTCTGCTTTCTTTATTAAAAATGTGAATGCGATACAAAGAGGGAAGTCCTTCGAAAGGTCGTTTTTTTCTTTTTAAAAATTGATACCATAATGAAACTATTTTCGACCGTATCAATGAGTTTATAATTTCATCCAGTGCAGTGAGCGGTCCGAGAATTCGGGGATTATTAAACTATAGTTTTTTTAGTACTTTTTGTTTTTTGTCCATCCAGTGTTCTCAATTATTCTTTCTCTACTTATTTGACATTTTCTTCAAATGTTGATAAATGGATGTAAACTCAATACTATTATGCAAACTTTCAGTACGTCCTAAAAAATTCGTTAATGGATAAATAAATACAGTATTATTTTTCCAAAATATCATATGATAACTTCCGCTTCAACAAATACATATTTCTGTGTTTCATTTATTTGACCTTTTATAAAGCAAATTCACACTTCGAAAAATGAAAAGTCGAGATTGAAAATTGAATGCCAGTGGCCGATAGTTAATGATCTATGGTGTTATATAGCTATATTAGCGACTTCTTGAATTGCCACATTATTTCTTTAGCATTCGCACAATCAAAAAGACATGTAAAACAAAGTGAAAAAAAGATGTGCTAATTGGATGAATAAAGTTCAATTAAGGAAAATTCATCTTTTTTCAGTTCTTTTTTTTGTATTGACGGTGGGTTAGTTAATCGATCATTTATTTGACAAGCTCAAAATACGTCGACAGCTGTGCTATTGAAATGCATTTCGGTGTTGTACCATCACTGCAGTAGTCGTAAAGTTAATGTACTGCAAATACTTGAATGACTTTCTAGCCTGATTTTGAAAATTTCAGCAAAAGCTTTCATTAATTCTTGAAAAAATCATTCCTTCCAATTATTAATCCTATCACTAAGGTCAAATCATTTCCGCTGGTTAGCTCACTAGATAGTAGTTGACAGTTGTAGTGATTTGCTTCAAAGATTTGATTGGAATTTTTTGTTATTTCAGTTTTGTTGCATTTTTTTTCTTTTCTACTACTACTCTTTTTTCATTTATCAATGTCTATAGTAAAGTTTTTTTACCTGGATATATTTATATATTATACATTTATAATCGGAATTTAGAAAAATACAATCTGATTATCTTATATAAGGCCGATTATCAGTTAATAATTTAAATTAATGATGCTTTAGGAATTAGGGATGAAATACAAGCTCGAAACAAAGGTTGGAAATTGATGTTACTGAAAACGATATTGCAAAAAATGAGGTTTGTATTAGTTCATTTTTCAAAAAATTATAATTTTTTTACACTGAAAAGGAAAATAAATCATAAACCCTATTATGATAAAAGTATACATGGTTCTCTAATCGTTGGCTAAAAAAAGGCCTATCAAGACTTAAATTACTGAATGACTTTATAGTTGGAGATAAAAGCTTTTAAAATGTTATAAACGATCGATTAATTGAAATACTACTTTGAAGTATTTGTCTAGCAATAGACAATAGACTAATATTTATAAATTTTTTTTTTATGGATCTAATAAATCGTTAATAGTCGTAGTCATTTGTCCAGCAGTCCTTTCATTGTAGTGTCAATGAATTTTGTTCTCTAGCTATAAGATTAGCATTTTTCAAATTCGTTTTTTCTTTCTTTCTTTTTTTTTGTTTTCTGCAATTCTGAAAATCTCGAATACCGAAAAAATGACGTATTACGAGTGCTAGTGATTATGTGAATTAGTCGAATGGGTAACTGATGTTGGAAAATGAGTTGTTCAAGGCTTAATATCTCCTTGTTTGGAAAATAATTCTATTTTGTACAGTGCTGAAAAGTATTAAGGAAAACGAACTCTTTTGGAAGCAGTTATTTTAGTGATAAAAGAGCTGCTACTTAAAAGCAATTTTGTGACCATGATTAAGAGATCAGTAATTCTGCACACTGGCAATATCTCTGGAAGATCATGGCGTATAATTTACTTTCTCCTTTTTTAAACTCAATTTCTTTAAACTTTTTTACGTAAAAACAATCTTCATTTGATAATTTTTTTTTTTTTTTTTTTGCATGATGTACTTTGATATGTCAGCTGCCGATAAGTAATGGCAGAAAATTTTCATTCCACACTGCTCTTGTCTAAATCTATCATTTATGTATGACGTATGATGGTCTGACGATACTTTTAGATTCCCACTTTTTGCATTGAAATTCTTAATCATTTCTTCAGAATCTCTTTCGAAAATGCACGATCAGATCAAATCCTCAATTTTTACTGCAATGAATATTCATGCAATTCTGATAGATCAAAAAATTTGTAAATTGGATGAAATAATTTGTGTTCATTTGCAAAAAAGTGTATTAATTTCTGAAAAATTGAAGTATTACTCATAATCATAAAATGACAAAGAAGTGACAAGATAAAATTCTGGTCAATATATTCGTCATTGTACTGTTTGATAATGAAAAATTTTCTTCAAACATCTGGTTAGATATATCGCAGAGCATCTTGGAAGACATATAAATCTGTCATTTGTAACTCTTTCTAACGTCTTTCCATGCACCAGCAGCGGTGTTATCGGAAGTCGATAAATAGCTAATGTGAATAGCAATTGCTAATGTCCTCAACAGCGTTAGTCCTCGGTAACATCGATCCGTGCTCAATATACGACCATGAGACATTCATTATCTTCCTAACAAACCTCTGATGGCAGTAAGCCCTTTTCTTATAACTTTTATGTTTATTCCTGTTAGTCATGAACCACTGTCTTGTTATTTCTGGTCAGTTCTTATTTTTAAAGAACATATTTTAAATCCTTCTTCAAAAAATATATTTGCTGGTAAATGCTTCAAAAATTCTGTGGATTTTTATGAAATCCTTCTCAGAAACATCGTTTTCTTATTCTACAGATCTAGGTTGAATATCTACATGCTGTCAGTTTACGAAATTTTTTGCTTCAAATTTGTTTTAGGGGACGATTGTATTTCTATTTATAAATTTAGTCGTTAGAATTGTCATTTAAAATATGAAAATTTCCAGAAAGTTGGGGTATGTGGGAATGAGATTTGCTTGAGTCAACTTACTTGTAACCTGGATTTATACCTCATCAATTTAATACGGCTTAATATCACAGACAGAATAATCGTAATGTTCGGAAATTATTACCTTCAATAATAAGATTATGATCCTGCACTTTTGTCCTTTATGTGTCCTTTACTGAGGCAGTGCCTCTGCCAAGAAAATCTTTGATTTCTCTGTTACATCTAGAAATGTCATCCGAAAATTTCATGCTATTTCTTCAAATATAAATTCATATTTTATTTACATTTTGTTTATTACGTCCCTTTATTTCCGTGTATTTTATATTTTCGATAGAAACCTTTTAATATCCGTTTATAGAAACCACTGCTTTGCAAAACTATATTCATATTCATTGTTAAGACTATAATGTGTAATCATAATCAGTTAAATTTGCAACAATGCCCGGAGCTATGCATATAACTGTTAACGAGAAAGATGTCATCAAGGTCGTCTTGGAATTCCTGGAAACTCGAAGCTTGCATATTGCTCAGGTTCATTACAATTTGGTATGATAGATCAGTTAGACTAATTATAAGTGATATAGTTGCTCTAATATCTTTAAATTATATTCAGTTAGCACTGGAACGAGAGACTGGTATAATCAACGGTGACTTCTCGGATGATGTCTTGTTCCTTCGACAGTTAGTCCTGGATGGTCAGTGGGATAGTGCGTTAGATTTTGTCGAGCCTCTTCGGAATTTGCCGGATTTTGATCTGCGAACATTCCGATATTACATTACAAAATACAAATATTTTGAACTATTATGCATCAAACAGGAACCAGGCCCAATGCATGACAACGATTTTACCGTTGAGGTGGTAACAAGTCATACAAATAAAAAGTAAGCAAGGAAATGAATTAAAAGAAACTACATGTTTCCTCTTCCAGGAACTGGTAGAATGCTTGAAAGATCTGGAACATATATGCCCTACGTCAGAGGATTTTCATGCATTGTGCGCTTTACTCACTTTGCCTAAGTTATCTGATCACGTTGATTTCAAAAACTGGAATCCAAGTAGCGCTCGAGTGGAATGCTTTCGAAAGGTTATCTGGAGTAACAGCAAATTTTTATTTTTGCACAAATTGTGAGTCAAAGAAATGATGTAAGTTACATTGCATTTAGAAGTAGATTCGAAAGCATAAAAGTGGCTTTATGAAATAACTTAAACAAGTTATGAGTATAATGAGCAGAAAAATATTGCCGATAGACTAATAAGGATTCATTTTCAGATCGAACCAATGGTTACACCTTTACTACCTTCGACAGTGAGAAACGCGGATCAAGCACTATCGCATTCATTGAATGATCGCTTGATGCAACTGGTTGTGAAGGGGACAATGTATGAAGGTTGCGTGGATTACTGTCAGGCACAGGCTGTCAACGATCAGAAAGGTAAATATTTCTTTGTGAACGACTAAACAGTGAGTAAATAGGCTGGGAAGAATTAGGTCTTGCATTGAATTCAATTAAATGAATACTTGTGAGAAACAGTACATGTAAATATAACTGAACAAATATAGTCATGCAAACTGCACTAAATTAAGTGAGATGTCAAAAAATATGAACATCCAAAATTAGAAATTTGAAAGGATCCCTATTCTGGATTTATCTATGTTGCTTGGCGAATAATACCGTTGAGCAAAAGAACTTTTTCTCACTGTTATAGAAGAAATTAAATAACGTGCTATCAATTGTTATGAAGGATGTGAGATAAATAGCATGGTAGATAGTACTACTAGAACAAATAAAATGAAGCCTTGGATCTGTCAAGTCATATGAAGATGACCCATAGAGTACATTGAGAGGCTTGCAGAAAATCCGCTAGGTGCATTTAAATATTTTCTCCGATATAATCGCTATAATTAATTTGGCTTCTACTATTACAGCGTACAGTTCGTTATTATAAATAACGTGTTAGGATAATATGTAGTAGATAAAATTCAGCAAATAATTATGTAAGGGATGAAATAATGATGAAATTATCTAATGTGTAATTATCTGTTTAGGTATCGAAAAAGGCGCAGTTCCAACAGCACTTTTATCTGCCAAATTACGGTTAATGAATACAGATTTATCACTAATATCTTGGCTTGCAGCTATTGGTCGTGAACAGTTCACAATACCTTTTGAACAAAAAGCTTTGGATTTGAAATTTGATAAAGTGAAGCAAGTTTCGCGACTATATTCAATAATAATCTATATGCGCTAACTACTGAAACATTTCTAATGTTCTAGATTCTACATCTCTAATGTTCTGGATTTCAGTGATTTAATCCAAGATAGATCGTTTTTCTTAAGGACACAATATTTTTGAGAGAAATATTTCTAATTATCATGTGTACATTTTCTGTTGGAATTGATCAATTCAGAAAACCTAAACTGGAAGCTCAATGGACAGAACACATTCTGGCAACACCAATCAAACCTGATGGCACCTTTCCACACGCTTTGGTTCCAAACATTAAGTTGAAGTGCGCTGAAAAAATGAGCCGTTCTATGGTACTACCATCGATGTCATCATCAATTGCTGTCGGTTAATTTTGAATTGTTTCGACGATACGCCAGTTTTTTATCGAAAAGTCAAGATTTTGCAATCAAAAATATCCATCCCTTGTTCGTCTTCGCTTCCATAATTTGCTAAATGAGGTAGGACTGATTTGAAATAACGATTACAAAATTTTCGAAGAATTCTCCTTGAAGGTGTTTCATCCGGTACACGAAATTTCTTGCACCCAATGTCGTATTCTACAATGCCATCAGTCGGTTTCTCAATACAGAATAACACGGAAGAGCATCCTAAAGAGGTGATGGCTCAGAGTCAAATGATTGATGCAATGTTTGAAAAATCGGAACATACTAGAAGTAGCCGACCTGATAAAACATACGATCGATTGTCATATCCGAATGCAACAGGTGTAATGCTGACTGCTTTACAACGGAATCAGTAAGTTGCATTTCCCGGTCTTACAGGAGGATTTTATCGTAACAAATGGCCAAAAATGCATCACAGTCTCACCTTATCTTAATCTATTTTTTTACCATCTTTCCACATACAAGATGTAACCATTTCAGGCAAGTCATTACAGCACAGAATATGGATATAATTAGCTCACGGATAATGGACTCGATGGCACAATTAACCTTCTCAACGGACAATACGCTACGTCATCAGCTAGAAGACATGGCGAGACGTGGCCAACGAATCGGCTCCCTGCCACCAGTACCTGAACTTTCTACACCTAGCGAATGCTCTTTGGTTGAATCGACACGAACTGAGAATTCCCTAAATATTATTAATGCACCAATCAACAACGATTCAACGCCTCCAATTCCATTACCTACGCTATCCACAGGTGTGAATAACGCGATGAGCACATCCTTATTTCAGGAATTTTCAAATCGGCAACTGCGTCAGCAAGGTTAGTCATAATTGAAAAAAACTGCTTACCAATTATATTCATAGACACTAAGATGGCTGTAATCAAATTAATTAAAGGCTATAACATTAAAAATTAATTCTTTTCGTGACAAGATTCGAACGTGTCTCGAAAGTCCATCCAGTTCACCTATTCTCATGTACAATATATTAATATCGTTCTTTTTGAGGAAGACTGCACTTTGCCGCGCCTTTACAATCTTCTCAAATTGCTGATTTAAATAATCAGATGCATAACACAACATCTACGCCGAATACGTCAGATTTACCAATGGCTGGTGGTGTGTCGTCATGTGCAGCTGATTACGCTCAATGGAAGACAAATAAAGTTCCACTGACGGTGCCAGTTATTCAGAATGATTTAATTCATGCATACAAACCATAATTGTACCCAATTTCTGTTTTTTTTTTTTTTTTTCTTTAGTTTAAGCGTCTAAGTTTTGTTTTCACTGCCGTTGTTCACCTTGTTAACTTCCAATGATTCTACATTTTTACTTTCAAAATTCTTTAGTCAAGCAAAGTATCAAAGGCACTATCTATTTCGCCAGAAGCCATGACGACTTCAGAGTGTCACGTCGGACCTACAAAATCAGATCGATTACCCGTTTGCAGAAGAAGTGCCAGTACAGTTGGTGTTCAGACTGCTGCTGTGGTTTCTCAAGCAGCTTGCTCAGCAAGTGGATTTAGTGTGCAGTTTGTTCCAATTTGTCGGTAAGTTTCGAGTTCGTTTCTATGAATGACATTTTTCAAATATATCGCTTAAAATCCGGTTTTGCCAATTGATATCCTACATACTTTTTACCAGGTATGAAGATGTACAAGCAATACGGACTGTGGCATTTCATCCAACTGGTCGATTTTTTGCATTGGGAACCAACTCGAAACAAATGCTTATTTGTAAATATCCTGACCTCAGGAAGTTTAGGTACATTGTCTTTATTTCAGATATTTTTATAAAAAGAAATTTTATGGACTGAAAAATAACACCTGTCATATTCTTTGTTACCAAAAATTGAAAAATTATGGTCTCTAACAGAAGAAGTAGTGGACCGGATAATGTCAGACATATCCTTTTATGGATCATATAAAAAGTAGTGGCAGTTGGTTCTACTCACTAAACAGTTACTTTATAAGTCTTCCACCAAAAGGATCTATAGATAAAGGATGGGAGCGCGGATAGGTGAGTGAAAATCTGTGTAATTTAGTTTCTTTTTTTGATTTGTTTTGATTCTTTTTCATTCCAGACCTGAAGATGCTGCACATCATGTTGAGGTCGTGTTGTCAAGGCCAAAACAGCATCGTGGCAGTGTTTATTGTTTGGGATTTAATCCTACCGGTGAATTACTTGCAACTGGTTCCAATGATAAAACACTTCGATTAATGGCCTTTAACACTGAGCATTGCAAAATTGGTGCGCTGTTATATATAAAGTTGTGTAAAACGTTATATAAACGAGTCGGTTTGATTATTTATTCCTTTTTTAGAAACCAAACTCTTGACAGCATTTCTGGAAATGATAACTTGTGTTAGAGGCAACCGATTAAATTCTAGAAAATTCAGGTGCGGAAACGGAGTTGAATATTCACGACGGTACAGTGCGTGATTTAATTTTCATGGAAGATAAGATGAGTCGAAGCACAATATTAGTTTCCGGTGGTGCTGGTAATTGCCGCATCCATTTAACGGATTGTACTACGGGTCAACCATTAAGCTCATATCAAGGACATACCGGTAGGTTTTGATCGACGAGAATCTGCCGATATGTCTAATGGAAGCTCTACAAGCATACCTGAATTTCTTTCACCACTCTCAAATGTACCAATCAAAGTGCATTAAAACACATAAAATTTGAAGGAAGTGCAACAAAATCGTTAACTTTCAGCTCCCATTCTTGGCTTATATACATGGTGTAACGGGTATTTTGTTAGCTGTTCACAAGATAAAACGATACGATTTTGGGATCTAAGAGGCCCAGAAGCAGTAAGCATCATTTCTCCTAAATGTAAAACTTCGAGTAAGTCCCTTTGCAGCACAGTTAAAATTTTGTTTATTCAGTTAGTAATCATTAATTTCTAACATAGATCAATTCACCAGCTTTATTCACTCTATCTGCTTTAGATGCACCAGTGACATCAGTTTGCGTAGATCCAAGTGGAAAATTACTAGTATCAGGACATGAAGATGCATCAGTAATGCTTTATGATATTGTCGGTGGTAGAACTGTGCAAATTTACCGACCACACGGCGACGAAGTTCGTACTGTACGATTCAGTAACGCTGCATATTATCTTCTTAGTGGTTCTTACGATAAAAGGTAGCTTTATTAAGTTCTCATTACAGATGTCCTCATTTTTTAAATTGTTCAGATTATTGGTGCATCCTTTGTAGAGTGGTTATCACAGATATGAGAGGTGATTTGATGACACCGTTAATGTACCTCCCAGTCGCTGAGCATAACGACAAAGTTATACAATGCAGGTGATCATTTCTTAATCTTTAATTAGCTTTAGATGTCGCTACTTAAATTACACACCAAGTTCACCTTTATACGTATACACTCAAATTACATAAATCATGATATTAATGTTTCTTTACACATGCAGTCAATTAATACATGTTTTACTGAGATCATCGTCAGGGAAGGTCTCATTTTTTTCCAGATGGCATCCACACGACTTCTCATTTTTGAGTACCAGCGCTGATCGTACAGCCGTCTTATGGTCGCTCCCGCCCCCACCTCAATATCATTAATATTCTCCGAAATTTGCTTTCAAAACCCAATTCCTGAAAGAACAAGAATGAACATGTTGTGTTTTCGCTCTCAATGAAAGGTCATTTATTTGTGTAAGCACAATAAATGTTTACCAACTCCGAATGCTTTGTATTTATTTCTTGCATTGCAGCTGAAATTTCACTTAGTGATTAAAGTTCTAACATTCTTGTTTTAAGAGAATTTGGAATAAATTTGTCTGGAAAAGTTAAATATTCTACGACAACAATAACTTCAAGCAATAACTGTCCTTAAAAAATAAGTTTGGGAGATGTGACGCGAAAAGGTAGCTAACTAAAGTTAATAATGCTTTATAGACAATGTTTCCAAGATTAATTAGTTGAAAAATGAAATAAGATATCTTACAATCTATCCATTTTTAATATTGCAACAAAAATTCAACAAACTTTTCTTAACCTCTCTCCACAACGTGAAAGGAGACAAAAATGAAAACAGAGAAACAGAAACTAAGAAGTGCCTTATGGCAGCTCACGAAGTGCTTCCAGATTTCGAGGCCATGTAGGAAGTTTTTTTGGTTTTAGATCTTGTTGATGATAAAGTGACGATAACGTTTTTCCTTTAACCCTTTGTTGAATGGAAATAGACAACTAATCAACGAAATTATTACTATTTACATTACAATTTTTGAAAATATAAAGAATACAGTTGTTTTTCTTTAGTTCATATGGGATATAATTGTTATAGCTGTGGATGAGAATTTGAAGTTGTACTCCAGAATTGAGGTAACAGAAATGAGTGTTGCTTAAAAATGGTAGTTACTTACCATTGCAGTGTGACCGCTTATAATGATTTTACAATTGCAAGCAAGTTCCACTATCAGGCAGATTTTCAAGACATTAAAAATCAAATTGGAGGATTTACATTATTTTAAACATAACATTAGTTACAAATTATTATCATTAAGTTGAAAAATCCCAAAAACATTATAAATAAGTCATCATCATAAGATTTGAACAGTTTATTACCTCATTACTTACTCTTAAAGTTGAAATTATGACTTATTACCTTCAACCAAATATTCAATTTTTAATTTAACCATCTCGAAATATTTGTATGATACAGAAGTATTTTTATCATTCCGTATTTCTATAAGATTTATTTGGGTTGCAACAAATCTCATAGATTGAGTATTATGCTTGGTCGAGACCAGTCTTTTATTATTATTTTGAAGAGAAAACAGGGGCAGCGGAGCTGTGTTCAACAAGGTACCAATATTTAAACCTTGTCCTCACGTGACATTCTCAACCTCCCAGCAAGAGTAATTTGAACCAATAAGAAGAAAGTGGATACCTGTCCTCATGTCCATCTTCACTTCTCCTTCTCTCTTTCGTATTCCCTTCCTCACTCTCTTCCTTTTTACAGATTCAAGCCCTGTCTCCTCTCCCTATCCTTTTAAACATTCCCGTGATGTGTCGAAATGCAGCTGGTGCTGATTCATTTAACGAAAATAAGTTGGAAGAGATGCTGTATGATTCATCTCATTTACTTCTATAAACTGTCTTAACCTCTTAACTTAACGTCCGTTCTATTCCAGGTGACCTGGTCATTAAGATTGTTTCGAAAGAATCCACAAATCGTCGTTAAACTACTCTCCACTGCTCTCGAATGGGTAAACTTCAAGAAATCAGCGAGCAGATCGATTTCGCATCTGAAGAATTAAAAATACTTCAATGGTGGCGAAAAGAGAAGATATTCGCTAAATCTTTGGAGTGAACTTTATTGTTGTTTGTTGTTTAACATTCATAAGTGATTCTGTTAAATTTTCTTTAACATCTAATAACGTTCTAGTTTGAACAAATTCAGATGCTATATCTATGGCTCAAGAATTTTCGTACTTTTCAACTATTTTGTAAATGCTCAAGAAGTACTAAAATATCTTCACAACGATTTTCTCTATCATATTTCTGGTATAATTTTCTATCATAATAATTTATCGAAATCCTTATCATCATTACATTTTGTAGCAAAATTTAGGCTCAGCAAAGACCGAATACGTTATACATTCTACGATGGACCTCCGTTTGCTACAGGTTTACCTCACTATGGTCATATTTTGGCTGGAACTATTAAAGATGTTGTTACTCGTTGGGCACATCAAAACGGATATTTTGTTGAGCGTCGCTTTGGTTGGGATACACATGGCCTTCCAGTAGTATGTTTTGAAATCTTTTAAAAATGAGTTTTTGTAAAGATGGGAAATAGCATTATTTTAAAGGATATAGCTGGTAAAACGATATTATTTCAGGAATACGAAATCGATAAAATACTTGGAATTAAAGGTCCTCATGATGTTTTGAAATTAGGCATTGATAAATATAATGCTGAATGTCGAAGTATTGTTATGCGATACGCGTCAGAATGGGAGGTTTGTGCAGTGTCCCAGCTGTATTCTTTGTTACTGTAAAATACTTGTTCCAAAATATTCATGTTATTGTAATTTTTTTCTTTACCTTTTCTAGAATTTGTTATTCCAATTTTATTCGTAAGGAATTTTTTATAGAATGCGGTTGAACGTATGGGACGCTGGATTGATTTCCGAAATGATTATAAGACACTTTATCCATGGTTCATGGAAAGTGTTTGGTGGGTGTTTAGTCAGTTATTCAAAAAAGGACTTGTGTACAGAGGAGTCAAGGTATGTTTTCATTTGATTTTGCTGATGATTCTTTCTTGTATTCACTCACACAGTTAATAGGTGAAACAGTTTTTTTCTTTTTTTTTTTTTTTTTTTTTTTTGCGTCTATGAAGAATGAGATGATTCCTTATTTCAATTTTGATTTGGAAATATACTCTTGAATATGAAAAAAACATTTCATTACTTTATATTTTGAGGAACTAAAATAGCGTTTATTTAGGTCATGCCGTTTTCGACAGCTTGTTCTACACCGCTTTCAAATTTTGAAGCTGGACAAAATTATAAAGATGTTGTTGATCCTGCAGGTATTCTGATTTAATGGTTACTTATTTCTGCAATTGTGAATTGCGAATTGTCATCTCATTCACGAAGTATTTGATGGAGATAAATGGATTGTTTTTCACCCTCTTAGAATTTTAGATGGTTCATATTAAGAGTCGAAAATTGAGCTAATCATTGTTTCTACACGATCGGGTTCAGTTATATTGAATTTCAAAGGATTCAAAATTGGAAGATATTAATGGAGGAAAATTTTGATGTAAATGGGTCATTTTCGTTTTAACTTTCCAAACCTTCTATCAAATGCTGTTTTTAGTGGTCGTTGGTTTCACAATGGATGATGATTCATCTATACAACTAGCTGCATGGACGACAACACCGTGGACTTTGCCAAGTAATTTATGTGTAGCTGTTCATCCAGATCTTATTTATATCACAGTTCAGGATAAAAAAACTGAAAAGAAATATATCTTAATGGAAGAGGTAGCTTCATTTATCATTATCAAAATGATGTAAATAAACAAGCTGTTTGCATTGCTATTTTATAAATAAGCTTTCCTGCAAATTCAGCTTTTTTTAATTGATGGATAAATATGTGCTTTATTTGTGATTCTTCAGTCTAATTTACTTTTCAGAGAATATCCGAACTGTACAAAGATGTCGAGGATTACGAGATTGTTGATCGATTCAAGGGAAAAGTTTTAGAAGGTAAAACCTACCAGCCACTTTTTCCGTATTTCTCCGAAATGAAAAATAAATATGGTGCATTTCGGGTTCTTGTTGCTACATATATCACTACTGACCAAGGTACTGGTGTGGTCCATCAAGCTCCCTATTTTGGAGAGGTAAGTTATACAAAACGCTTTGCTTTTTTTCTTTCGTCATCAAACGTTTGTGTTCACGTTTTTGATTCCTGTTATTTTTAGGCACTTATCCTTATTACTTTGCCAACTTTCAAACTATTAACTTTTAGTCGAGATTTCAAATTAGGCATTTCAAAGCAAATTGACTACATAGCCTACAATTATTCTATTAGAATAAATCGAAATTGGTTATATTTCGATTTAGATTGATTTCCAAACATGTTTGGATAACGGTGTCATAACTCGTGATATGAAACCGATCTGTCCAGTTGATGAGTGTGGTCGATTTAGAGATGAAATCATTGATTTCCGCGGTCAATATGTGAAAGATGCAGACAAAAATATTTGCAAATACTTAAAGGTTTGTAGACTGAGTAATGAAACTTCTTGGCATAGTAGTTGACTTCGACTTTAATTTTTTTTTTTCGGTTATTCCGCTTTCCTGATCTTTTCCAACTGTTTGTTGATATATTCAGTGTTCTGAATCAGATTACGACATATTACTATTCTTAATTTTAGCAGCATGGAAATCTTGTCAAATTGAGTGAAGTGAAGCACAATTATCCTTTTTGTTGGCGATCCGATACACCACTGCTGTATATGGCGGTACCATCCTGGTTCATTCGCGTTGAAGAAATCGTGCCAAAATTGCTAACCAATAATGACAAAACTTACTGGCTAGTTTAATGCTGCTATCTAAGTTGCGATATAGAAACTTTAATCTTGAAACTATGTTACGATGAGATATTAAGATAAGTTTTTCCAGGGTTCCGTCTTTTGTGAAGGAGAAGAGATTTGGAAATTGGTTAAAAGATGCTCGAGACTGGACAGTTTCAAGAAATCGATTTTGGGGCACTCCAATAAATTTATGGGTTAGTGATGATTTGGAGGAAATCATTGCGCCAGCTTCAATTGCTGAGCTAGAAAGATTGTCGGGACAAAAAGTAACCGATCTGCACAGAGAAAAGTGAGTTTTTGAAGTGATATAAAGTGATTAAAATATCAGGTATATGGATCTACTGAGATCCTTAAAATAAAGTGAGAGAAAACTAATTCTGAGCATATATATATAAGCGATGAATTTTGTTTTTCAGTGTCGATCACATTACAATACCATCATCCACTGGTCGTGGAGTGTTGCATCGGGTTAGCGAAGTTTTCGATTGCTGGTTCGAGTCTGGTTCAATGCCTTACGCTCAAAATCATTACCCATTCGAAAGAAAGAATGATTTCGAAAATAATTTTCCAGCTGATTTTATTGCCGAAGGTTTTTGATGCTATTTTATAAATATGATTTTGTGAAGCATGGCGCGAAATCATATATGGATTGTTTTTCTCTCGCGATAGTTCAGTAAAGTTTTAGAATCCGAAGTATTTATTTGACTTATGTAGACCGATTTATATTATTATATTTATCAGTAGAATTAGGATTATGTACAAATCAGCTGCTTACATTGATGAAAAAAGCTTAGCTTCTACGGTATAATTTATAATGGCATAAAAAAGTTCATGTAGATAGTAATGGTTAGAAAATGAAGTCAAACTTTAGGAAAAACGTAATTTATTCAATATCCTTTGCATTTTTATCCTTTTCATACGTGGTAATACTGAAAAAGAAACTCCATTAGTTGGATTCATGCAGCGTTAGTGACTGTGATTTATGGGAACTGGGCTTTCAAGTTATTTTTTAGTTCATCTCGAAATTACGAGATTGATAGAACGGCGATTTTCTTTTCTTTTTTCGCCATTATTCTTGAAAGGTAATCTTGCTGCAGGTTTTCAGTTGTTACAATTTTTTTTAAACAAAAAAGTTTTGTTAGTTGTAGCCTTATTAGGTTGTAAATTCATAGGCATCGATCAAACACGAGGTTGGTTTTATACCCTTATGGTTCTCTCAACGGCGCTGTTTGATCGACCACCATTCAAGAATCTTATTTGCAATGGTCTCGTACTTGCTGCTGATGGCTCAAAAATGTCGAAGCGAAAGAAAAATTATCCGGATCCTTTGAAGGTTGGTTGTTGAAATTCCTACAAATTTCAAAAACTTGGGGAGACAGTAACTTTTCATACACAAGTTTATAATACTGTTCACTGTGCATAAAAACCTTTACAGATTGTTGAAAAATATGGTGCTGATGCTTTGAGAGTTTATTTGATCAATTCACCTGTTGTTCGTGGCGAAAATTTGCGTTTTCGAGAGGAAGGTGTTAGAGACGTATTGAAAGATGTATTATTACCATGGTACAATGCATACAGATTTTTCGTCCAGAATGTGAAAGTTTACGAATATGTTAGTTTTTTGTTTATTGCGGTTCTTGTTTGTCTGCCGTGTTTAAAAGAAATTTGGGCTTTAAAAATGCTGTTACCCTTTTTATAAGACAGTCAATTTTAGTCTCTTTAATACTTTAGAATTATATCATTTAGTTTTTTTTTAATAACATGGTGCAGTTTTGAACTATCGTGTTTTAGACTATTAATGAAGAATTTACATTACTGGACGCTAAATCGATTAATGTAATGGATAAATGGATTATGTCGTTTACAAATAGCTTGCTAAATTTTGTTAGAAATGAAATGAGTGCATATCGACTTTATGCAGTTGTCACGCCACTAACAAAATACTTCGACTCTTTAACAAATTGTTATATACGCTTAAACAGGAAAAGGATGAAAGTAAATCTTTGTTTCTTTTAGGTTTCTATGGAATATAATTAAATTAGGTGTATTATAATCTGTGGTATATTATAATTATAAACTTAATATCTTTTTCTTTGGGGATGCTCCACTCTTGCTCTCTTACCTTTTTTTAATTAATGGATCATTTATATTCTCAATTGATGGGTTCGTTAGTTTTGGCAAAAGCTTTTCTATTGAAAATCGGACTGCAAAGTTCTAATGTTTTTTTGTTGCATAATTTTTTTGTCCTTTTTATGTTCACTGTTTAAAAAATTAGCTTCATTAGATTATTTTGCTTGAAAAGATTGTCTGCATAAATTCTAGGGTGAAGATGGCCCAAAAGAATGTGCTCACAGCCTCTCGACATTAGGAAATGTTCTCCTGCTGATTGTCCGACTTATGGCACCATTTACACCTTTTTTTTGTGAACATATGTGGCATAATTTACGGCATATTTCTTTATCATCTAGTGAATCTGTACATTTTGAAATGATTCCACAAGCATTGTAAGAATTTATTTATGGTTTGTTTATTGATTTCTTATTACCTTATCATCGATAATGTGAAACAGTACTTTTATCTGGATACAACTAGTTATCATATGGGATAGTGTCGTCTTGCCTAGAAGCTTTTGGAGCATATTTCTTTTACAATACTAAACTGGGCGAAATGAATGTATCCCAAAACGCAATAGGAAGTATTTTCTTTTACTCTCATGACTGCGGCAGGGTTTCTATTTTTGGTTATTTGAATTTTCAGAAGTGAGTTAATAGACAAATCAGTGGAGAAAAGAGTTGCAAGAATGAGAGCAGTTATTGATCTTGTCCGCGTTTTGCGGGAAAGAAAGGGTATACCAGTCAAGGTGCATTAATTCTGTTTTTTTTTTTTTTCGTCTAGCAGTTTATTTATGTAATAGTTCAGTAAATTTCAATTTCCATCATTTCCGAGCTTTTGAGGATATATATATATATATATATATATATATATATAATGTATTTTTCACATTTATAGCAATATTTTACAGTATCCGCTGAAAGAAATGATCGTAATCAATCGTGAAAAGCAGTTCTTAGATGACATTCTCTCAATGCAAAATTATATTGTAGCAGAAGTTAACGTAAGGATGCTGATTGTTTCACACAATAAAGAGAAATACGGTGTTCATCTGAAAGCGGAACCAAATTTTCGCCTACTTGGTACCAGATTGAAAGGCGATCAAAAGAAAGTTGTTGATTATCTGAAGGTTGTTGTGGACAGATTTGAAAGATATTCTATATATTTTGCATTAAATTTTTAAGCATTTTTAGTTTTGGATTTTAGGTGTAATCTAGGTACTTTGCCACTTGTTGGAAAACAAGTGAGGCTTTATGCATTTTAATATTTTATAACGATTTAACAGTGGAGAGATTTTTTCTTGCATTAATAAGTGTACTTTCAGCATTCATTTAAAAAATTACTTAAGTTTCGGAAAGATTCCCTTTTTTTCCAGAATCATGTTACGGAAAATGAATTGGAGCAGCTTGCGGAACAGGGCACATTGAATATATTGGGTTATGAATTAACTGATGAAGAAGTGAGCTTATCTTATGCATGTTGTGGTATTCAAACTGCTGGTGAACAAATGGAAGCGCACTCAGATGGCCAGGTCTTTCTGAAGCTATTTGTTATTTTTATTATTATTTGTAACTCTAAAAACGGCGGTTGATGTGCGTTCATGTTTTATGGATATTCTGAAGTTTTATTCATTCGTAATTTTTTGACCGAAATTTTTGATAATTTTTGACCGAAATTTTTGATAATTTTGATAATTTAGACAATAGTGATAGTGGATACTACCGAAGATGACATTCTGAAAGACGAAGGCTTTGCACGTGAAGTTATCAACCGAGTGCAGAAGCTTCGTAAAACTGTAAGTTCTTAGCCTTGTTCTAATTGGGTAAAATGAATGACAAGTCATTTTAAATAACAAACTACATACATGATCAGATTATTATGGTTTCTGGTTTTCCATAAATATCATTCCTTTCAACAGAATTTGCATCTCAATTCCTTATTCAGATTTTAATATTGAGTTGTTGTTCCATACTTTTGGCAGAAAGAGTGGAAACTACGTTATGTTACAGGCCAAATTGATGCCAAACGATATGGCAGTAACATACTGCAAAGTAACTCCTCCTAACCATCGTCTAACTGCAGTAATTAAAGATTACAGTGAGTTTATTGAAAACACAACGGGTACTCCAGTACGTTTAGCCAGTGTACCAAATGATGAAATACCAGTTGCAGTATCTTGCAGCTCTGTGAAGAATGCACAAGTAGAGGTATGTTGACATAATGTTCAGTTTCGAAATGACTAATATGTGCTTCTTAGTAAGTGACAGTTATGTTGTAAGAAATCAAAAAGTTTTTCTCTACCTGAAGTGAATATATTTTTTATAATCCATGCTTGACTAATTTTCGGTGGGTATTTCTAATCTAAATTGATTTAGTTACATCTGGTCTGCTACCGGACAACTTCATCTGCAGTAACAGTGCATTATGGTTCCCGAAAGCACCGTATATTGCTAGTAGCAAATGATGCAGTCCTAACACATACTAGGTTACTTTATGAAGTACGTACCGCATTTTCCTTATGGTCCAAGTCAAATTTATTGCTTTCCTTAGAGCCACTGCCCGTGGCAGCATATATATCGTCTAAATGTAATTTGCTTGATCTGGCTAATAAAGATATTCATGTTATTATCCCTTGATAATTTTTGTTTTTTCTTTTTGGGTGACTTTTTTTCGAAATTTTTCTGAAATTTACCGTCACTTGAAACCTAATATTGATTATCCTACCTGTTTTACCATTCTTCACGGTTGTGTCTGAACGCTATCTGTACTCTTATTCAAGATGATTTAAAATATGTCTGAGAAGCACATTTTTTTCAGTGTTAATTTGTAATTTAAATATTTTCCAGATCTATTTAATGTTCACAATAGTTCTAATATATGTCTCCCATATTCTTATAACCTTTTTTATTGCATCGTACACTTGTGGCTTCAACTTTATAGAATTCATGCTGATTACTCCTCTTCTATTGTAACTACAGCTAATTCTTTCTTTGCATTTTTTTTGTTGGTGTGTTTATCAGTCAACATTGTTGTTAAATCATAAATAATTTGTTACAAGTTTGCGAGGTAAAATGAAGAAACCTGCATTTTCTTGCTTCTGCTGCATTCCAAACAGTAAACTAATTATGCAGAAATTGACGCCATGCAGTTATCGTCAAAAAAAACTGTAGAAACTTGCAATACAAAGCCGTGGTGGGAGGTTAAGAGCGCCGATATTATCAGATGGGCCTAGGTGGTTCTGGCTCACTCTCCTCCATCGTGATCTTCAACATTTTAAGTTGTTGCATCAGGTATTCCTTTTCCATCTTCAGTGTTTGAACTTCACTTAATGCCTCATCTCGTTCCGATTTTATCTGCAAAATAATCTCGTCCAAAAAAGTTTTCAATTTTGAAATAATTGAGTTTCGTAGTATAATGAGCAACATTTCAAACTGCGAGCGTTTATGCAATATTTGGTTTCTCTGGAGATTATTAAGTATCAAATATGTTGATTCATTATTGAGGTGTAATAAGTTTAATTCTATTTTCCAAACTGTAAGTCAGCGCGTTTTTTTATCACATTGGCAATTTCTAGAACTAGCGGAGGAGGACAGACCGCTTCAATTTCTCTTGCATCCTTCTGTGAAGTTGTGCCACTGTTGAAGGATGTTTGTTCTTGAAAGCGTTTTAACTCCTCAATCTAAATTCACAAATTAATGTGAACAAAACGATCACAATTTATGCAATAGGCATGATGCGTAGATAAGTGTTTTTGCACCTGGGAAGGAATTAATATCCATCTAATAAGAATAAGAGTAGTACTGAGATCACGAGACTTGTTCAGTAACTATTTCATCAAGGATTTCAGGTTTGAAAGGAGGAAGCTATTAATCATAACACAGTCCAATAGTTTTGATCTGGCGATTAATAACTAAAGTCCAGTGCATTATAAACATTTCAAGAAACCTCCTCTTTCGCAGCTACACGAGAAGCTTCAAGTTCAGTACATTTAGCTTCCATCATCATTAATTCAGTTTGCAGTTCACTGCATCGATTTTCCAATCTCCGCATACTCCTATAATATTTTCATTTCGCTCTCTTTCCGAAAGAATAAATTTCTTTGAATAAAATATCGAAAAAAAAAAAAAAAAAACCCACTCGAATAGCTTTCCCTGTGATCCATCCAAACGCATCCATCGTGAAAAGCTCATATCGAACTACAAAAATTGATTTCCTTAAAATTTAAAGCAAAACTAATCATTGGGTAGAAATGATCTCTAATCTAAACAAATTTCGAAATATTTTAGTCCATTAAACTTTTTTGATGCTTTTTCAAACCAAAAATAAGGAAAATAAAGTGTTTACAAGATCATGTCTTTCTTCAGTCTCATGAATGTGTTCATAAATGTTTTTCATTAGTTCCAAACAAAATCAGTGACATCACCATCCTTCATATCAGATATTCAGAGATCGAAAGATGATTTATATCCAGAATATGCGCAATCTAGTGTCTACTACATTTTGACCTGTTCCTTTCTATCATAACTTCATAAATCATGAAACTAACCAAGGAAATATCAGAGTTAAGAACTGAAGAGTAATCTTTTTGTTGTTCACAACCTTACTTGATACAATTATAACTGACGTATTCTATACCTGTTGATCGGTCATTGCTGAGGCATGCATGTAATCCGGTCGTGCCTGGCACTCTTCGTCAACCGTTACTGATGGTGTCTCTGGCGGAGAATCCACTTCTAGTGGCTGAAATCAGTATTCATGTTTAAAAGGTCAAACAGTATTTTGATCATGAAAAAAAACTACATTGTTTCGTTTAACTGTGAATGTGTTTCTACTTTTGTTATTACTATGACGATGTTCTGCGTTCTTCTTGAAATGTGGTGTTCCCTTGAAATTTCAACTTTTAGCAAATTTCAACAATTTTTAAATTCCAACACAAAATGAAAAATTAACCATTCGGCTGGCTATTCGTTCTTTTTGCAATAAATGTATGTGAGCTTTCATACGTGAATTTTCAGCTTCCACAGCTCGTTTCATACTTAATAATTTCTTGTTCTCTTCCTGAAGTAGTTATCAAGAAGTACAATTATTAACATATGATGACTTGACAATGTTTTAAGTATGAGTTGTTCTTTTCTAAAAAGACCATTGTAACTAGAGAGTACAGCAAAATGGAGAGAGTAATGTAAAATTTCCTTTAATCAGTAATTCTTAATTAGTGTTGCAATTTTTTAACGGTGGTACAAGCCAATAATTATTTCAAATCACATTCTGACATATTTGAACATTCCGTCTTCTAACCTTGGCTTCCGTGAGTGCTACACGCAACGAATGTCCCTCTTCACGAGCTCGGTTTCGTTCGTTTCGTACCGTACTCCATTTCTGCCGCCATGATGCAGTACATTCTGACCACCAGCGCATCGTCTTCTCCATTTGCGCTGCTCGTTGTCGAGCCTGAAAATTATAGAATTAGTACTAGTAATATCTTAATATCACGATATAATAACTAAAAAATATAATATCATTTCCGAATTTTGCTACACTCAACTGAAATGCGAAAAAGTTCTGATGAATAATTCAAATTGACAATAATTTCATTCCTAATAACTAGCGTACAGCAGAATAATTATGTGACATTATGTGGTATTCCTTTAAAGATTTAAAAAAATTAAATCAGACATTAAAGAAAATTTTTAGATGGTGTTTGCACTTGGACAGAACTTAAAAAAATTGAAGTACTTCGTTAAGCTCTTGAAGTCGTGCCAGTTCGCAAGCATCCCAGTCCGTATGTTGACAACGTCCCCACGTACTCCCTGTGGCAAATATACGTACTGATTCTAGAAAAATGATACTGTGAGTGTTAATGATAATGAAATATCTTATGCTGAAATCCTAATCACTATAGTTAAAATAAACATATGATGACATTATTATTCAATTCCTGTTGAATTCTACGTAACATGCTTGGCAGAGAATTGGAAATTAACGCTAATTTATATTCACAGCACATTCTTGTGTACTGCGCTCAACATATTGCAGCTTTTTATTAACTTTTAGCTTAAGCTTATAGTTTAACAAGTTAATTTGCTTGCTCTCAAATTTCATCTACAACGACCCGTAACTCTATAATCTCAATTTCACTTACTTTTTAATAATTAATAAAGAAAGGAGAGATAGAAGAAATAGAAGTATATAAATATATATATATATATATATATATATATATATATATATAAAAGAAATACAGGAGTATACAGATAACAAAATAAAAGAAAACGATAGAATTATTACAGCTAACCAGACAAACTGAGACAACTAAATTAAATTCAAAATAAGACGTTGAAATGAGCATAACAATGTTTCTCATCTCACTGAAGTTATTCCTGGTGTGACATAAATTAAACTATCAATTAAGATATCATATGTAAATTTTGTGAAAATAGAAGTATTATATTCTCTATCACCTGTGATGATAGAAAACTACTGCATGTATAAAAATTAAATAAATTCTATTGACTATTGCACTTTTTCAAAGCATTTGTTATGGCAAAATTTGAAAGAATTTGAAATGTAAGTAATAGAAGAATTAGAAAGGTGCGAACCACTAATATCGGAATATCGGTTATATACAGCAGCGTTTACAGATCCTTGGTCAGTCATCGTCCTAGGAAAAAAGTTAGGAGGAAATTCGAACTTCCACAGGATCAGTAAGATGCTTAATGCAAAATGATAGGAGTTGTTGACCGAGTGGAGTGGGAACACCTGACGCTATGCGCATTTTACACCTTATAACCTTCCCATCACAGTAGCAATGATGCGAAACATCAATTCCACTTCAGTGAAACATCCACTTATTCAGCATAAATTTGTATGCAGTTATCCGTTTAGGATTCCGACTGCCCAAAAAACATTTGAGCTCTCGTGGAGCAGTCACTGATACTCTTGTTATTCTCGTGCTCTCGATCTGCAAAATCTCTTAGCTTCCACTTGTACGAACCACTTGTACTGCTTGCTTTCTTTTTTGTAGTTTGAAGGCTTTTTCTTTTACTAATTTTGCAAACAGACCATCACATTTTTATCAAAACGCTTATCTTATCATTTTGTATATGTAAGCGATGTGAAGAGTTTATTAATGATGTTCTTTCAATCAAAAGTGATTTTTAATGTTACGAAGAATTACCATTAATTGTCAGGACGAAATCATAACAAATGAGATTTAATCAAGTTCTAAAAATTAACACCGTTTCCAACTGTCGTATTTTTCCGATCCTTATCATACTTCACTTCTGTTTAAAAATAATCTTGAATAACATTGATGGATGAAAATTCAGCGCTCTTGTTGCTTCAGCAATATCAATCCTTTAAAGCAAGAGTGAAAAGTGACAAAGTAAAAAGTATAATTCCAAATAATTTTTTTTAGTCGTCTTATAAAATTTACAAAATTCTATTAAAAAAGGAAAAAGAAAGACGCTCAGATCATAGCATGCTTAAATAATAAAATTACCATAAAAATTAGTGTAAAATTAAAAAAAGGAAAAAAGATCACAACATTTTAATTCCTGTTCGAAATGACAGCACACAGTCCACAATATACACGATAACATTGATGAATATTAGAGCCTGCAAGAATGACAATCGGTGTATCCAAATTCTCAAACTTTTCCTTTATTGAACCATTATGTTTTACTTAAATCTGCCTTTTTCCTATCATAAAAAGACCGAAGATATTTTTGATTTAAGAGATATGGAAAACTTACAGTTGCAATAATCCATTCTAGTCTATGACAAACTAATCCAATTATTTTTTTACTGTCAGGTGGGTGACATGTCGCATAATATGCTTCTATAACACCAACAAATAAATAACCAAATGAGCCAACTAAGCTGATCAGATAGTCCTAAAACGATATATTCATGTGAAAGAAAATGAAAATTCAACATTTTAAGACTTCTATTAAAACCATTCGTTAAAAAAGTGGCATATGAGGTTCAGTATAGAAGAAGCAGTGCAGCAGTACTCATCGTATTGGTTGTTTGGATTGCACTAGAAATTTCGAATTTTCTCAATAATATTTTAAAATTGATTGAAAAAGCGTAATGACTTAATGATGCACTTATGTAATCAATGACGAAAACAACTGATGCACAACTGCTGTTGCGATTTGGAGACATTACGGAATGTCACACTAAAATCACGGACAAAAGTTATTGTTAATGTGCACCCTTCATATAATCAAGCTTTTTCTGAGAAGCTGTGACAGAGACGAAACAAATGCTTTCATATAGATTTGTTGGCAGTTCGAAGTAATTGCAGTCAATTCGTTTTTTTTAATTTTACAAATATAAAGAAAGTGAAATAACTAACGAATCTTCGCCATAACATATATCGATTACCGAAGAAAGAACCGAATAACATAAAGAGACACAATGCTGAGAATGATCCGGAAACAGCAAGTACTAAGCCTTGCCACTCAGTATGCGTCATTTTCACAAATGCGTAAAGAGACAATTCGCTCACTGGAGAAATTATAAATCCCACTGTGGCAGCTCCAAGCATCTAAATCATATTTAATATCAAATATCAAAATATTATGCAAAAAAAAAACTAATCATAGCTCTTGTCAGTGATTTTCTTTTGCAATCACTAAGCACAATTCATTTTAATAACTGCGAAATGATTGCAACGCCGATCTAACTTACTATCAACAGAGGAAAGAATACTGTGGTCGCAGAGATCACGCGCATTTGGGTTCAATCTTTTAGTAAAATTTCTACTTAATAATATTTAAACAAAATACAGTACTTCTTTTGCAGTGTGTTACAGAATAATGAGCAAGAAATCTTTTACCGCAACTGTTTCATATTTAATTATCATAACTAAGAGTGTTTTGAATAATAATGTTCCCCTGTTTTCAGCACTATTATGATACATTAATCAGAAATAGTTGTGATTCAAACTAAATGAAAAAATTCACCAAATTATCTAAATACCAAAAAAGCGCCAACCAATTCGATCGCCTTAATAGCAACTCTCATCATAATGGAATATCGTTCATTGTACTTCTCCTTCCTACTTACTGCATTCATGATACTTGGTGGATAGGTTGCATAACTTGGTGCATAATACGGTCGTATTCGTCTCAGTGCTGTAGGTTGCATATTCCATTGCACTGCAATTAATTTTCATTTGCTTCCTTTTATTTTCTTTACAAACAAAAAGCATTCGTCTCTATTCCTTCATTTTCATATAATACATGTATTTACCTCTATATAATCCATGACAGTAACGAGGTTGTCGATCTATCGGATTGCCACCGAATTCTGATTCCTGCAGAAAGATAATTTAAGTATTTCAATTTCTGGACATTTAAAAAGGTTAATAATTCTGACCTGATATGTTTCTATTCGACCAGAAGGTTCTTTCTTTTTTCGATACATCGGCCACTTTCTAGCATCTTTCCAAGGACCGGAATAGCTTCTAGAACAAAATGGGGTTGTTAACAATTAGTGTGTAATAAAAGTTATCATGCAAATATTCATTAAAAATATAAAGTTTTAATTGGATATTAAAAAGTATTTAAATTAGTCGAATTCAATGATAGAACCTATATTGTCTTGCATTAAAAAAATATGGATCGATGGCATAACCACGATTTCGTTTGGTATACACCATCTTGTAGATTTTTGGCGGTTGAGTTCGTGTTGGTATAGTTCTGGAAAGATTCTGTTTTTGAAATGCATGCTTTAAATAATCTTAAGAACATGCTATTATGTTATTTCAAATGGAATCGTTGCATTGAAAGAGACAAAAAATGCACAGGAGGATACTGATAGAGATATTGCAACAGTCATTCACAAGTACTTAATTTTTTGTGTTCCTCCCAATTAGTTGATTATTCAGAAACTTCAATATCAACCTTTGATTGTAACAAAAATGGAGTTTAAGACGTTTGCTAAATTTTTAAAACTTTTTCGATGAAAACTTTGAAAAGATGAAATTAAATAATTATTTACTTAGTCACGACAGAAAAATCCAGAAACCTAGCTTGTCGATAGAGTATAGGACTAGTATCGAGTTGCAAGTAACTTCGGTAGGTTCGGTAGGCTGCACTTCGGCTCGTATGTGCACCACCGTAATAGGAATTCACTACGGCACGATCTAAAAAAAGTTAAAGCTAAAGAAAATTTCAAAACAGAAATGCACTCTGGGAGAAGTTGCAAGAATCGTTACATCAAAAAAAATCAAAAGTAAACATATCCTTGTTTTCTGAAGTATATCGCTGGGAGACATCAACATTTTCAGGCCTGTTATCTACTTTTCGAATTCTACTTTGCAATTATCAATAATGAGGTCATATCTTTCATATCATTTTCATATCACAGCGGTAAGTTAATAAAAAATTTTCTTAGTATTTAATTTCAACAAATTTTGAAATTGGTGGAAAGATTTACCATTGATGAGATTAATAAAGTAAGGGACATAAATGGAATAATCCGGGTGTGTGGCAGGAACGGAAGTAGTAGTAACAGTAGTATTTGATTGAACACAGGTAGGATTGTTGTACATCGTTGATGTTAAGGTCGATTATTAGTGAAATGATAATTGTAGGGATGCTAGCACAGCTGTCGTTAAATATGCAAATTGAAGAAGAAATTCTGTAAGGAGCGTATCCGATTAGCTCAACAGTCTGAAGTTAAGAGCGAATAGCACAGACACTTGAAGTAGTTCAGTTACAGCCACAAAATAAAAACAATTTTGACGCCATCTTCTGAAATGTAAAAGATTACTAATTCGATGATTTCATAACATAGTTTTTGTTCTATTACTTTTCCAACGATATTTCCTGTTTACATTATAATTTAACATTTATCAATGCTTTCATTCCCTCTGGGAAAAAATCTTTCGAGTTTCAAATATAGAATATTTCTAGGAAAGGATAAATCGGTAAAAAATTTGATTTCATGGTATGTATAAAAAATATCAGTAGTGAATATAGAAATATAGTTTTGCACTTGTCAACATTTATAAGAACAAACTGAGTAATTTTAGATGGATCGATAAGCAGGTAGCAAGGTTTGAAGAAAAAAGTACAATTTTGAAAACTTTTATTGAATTTTTCCTACAGAGTTTAGTCTTAAAGATGAATTTATTGAGGAAACATTTTCGAGTCCGTCAATTCAACAAAAACATAAATAGAAACTATTAAAAAAAAACATAAATGATGAGTGTAAAAATATTGCGGTAGAAATCTTTTATGATGAAATGCATTTTAGAGAGTTTAAATTGTATTTTTAAATTAAGTTTTGCGGCTTTTTTTGTAATTAAACGCTGAAAGCTTTATATAGTTTTAGCAGTAAAAGGAAAGAAAGTTTCGAGATTAATCATCGGTCATGATCACGTAAGAAATATAATATCGATATAATGATATAAAATAATGTGTCTTCTTGAAATAAGACGATGAGTTATTTTGCAGATTGATTAAAAAAGTAATAAGTAATGAGGAGTAATGCAGCAGCAGAACAATGTGCCGCTGTCACCGATAATAGTTTATTTGTAGCTGATGAACAATATGCTATAATTGTTCGAAAAAATAACAAGAATTTTATACAAAGAGTTGGATGAAAGTTTACAATTATCAAACATATCTGAGAGGAATCAC